AGCTCCTCCATGTGGCTATACTATCTGAAATTCTCATTTTTATGGTAAAATTTCACAGTATGACACTTTTTAGTAAACCCTTAACATGTATAATATTGTCAGATTAAAATCTATTTTGATGCTAATCATTTTAAATTGCACTTGTACATCTGAAGCAGTCTTCATACAAATTATTAATGAGATTCCTCAGTACCTCTTTTTCCACCATGCTCATCCTATTCAGATACATATATGCTACGAGATGATGGGCACCTCCAAATTTATAGACTAAAATATGAATTGTATAAAATAAATTGTGTATTTTAAATGTAAAGCTTTGCTGTCAAAGTTCTGCTTCTCCATATTACAACAATATTTGGTATTATGCCATTAGATCTTAAAAAGATTAATCATTTTACAGTATAAATATTAGATCTGAAGATTAACCAAAACACTCCTTCATAACATATACGTTCGGCTCTACCACCTGTAAAGAAACAAATATCTGCTCTTATTCATATGCACAGTGATCATACATTATAACAACGCGGACAAACATCCATGGCTTGAGTGAGATTCGATCCCATGGTCCCAGTGACCAAGCGGCACAAGGCCCACGCCTCAGACCGAGCGGCCACCTGTGACCCCATCTCAATAAATACAGTATTCAATTTAAATTCAGTGATACCATAAAACTGTGCTTGCAAAAGTGAACAACAGTCCAAGTATATGATGGACACAGTGAGAATTTCTGAAGGGAATATCAGTAGAGGCATAAACACAAAATTATTTTATATAGTTTTCACGGATATCTTATCCAAGATCTCGTATTATGGCCGATCTTGACTGAAATGATTCACATATCATATAATTATTCAATTAAAGTTCAGAACACTAACCATCTTTGTAGCCCTCATCTTTAAGTATCTCATTATAATTGTCAGCTTACCTGTTCAGTCGTCCCGTGGTCAGATTAACCATACCAATTTGAGATTTTGAGTCAGGAGCAAGAGAACTCCATGCAGTATTCTCACAGATTTTAAGGTGTAGCTTGTCGCATTCCAAGAGGACATGTCTGCTTGACGATGTGACACAAGTGTCCAGAACTTTGTAGAACCTGTAAATTTTGAATTAAAACAGTCCATTTTGTCACACACAGAATCAGGTGGATGAACTTCCCCAAATTAAAATAATCTGTAGAATATACGTAACTCACTTCATATTTAAATTGTCAATCCAGTCCTTCAGATCAAGGCCAAATCTTCTTGCGTTGACCACAGCTTTCCTCTGTAAGGCACTTCTGTCTATTTTGTTGTCCAACAGTTTGTTCCAATCTGCAGCATCATGGATTTGATAAGGCTGTCCAGGCCCACTGTGTAGGAACCTAAATGCAAACAAAGTTTTCAGCTTAAACACACAAAGCTAACGTTTAACAAAATTACAATTTATTTAGGTTCACATGTAAAACTAATATATTAATATTTTATTTCACTCTGAATTAAACATGAGAAACAGCATGCAAAATTTTCTTTTCAGTTCACGTACTCTATTTTTAGTATAGTAATTTCTCCTACAATACATTTTTATAATGCAAATTGGCCATAATACGACCGATTTATAAGAGAAAGCTGTTTCCATAATGCAGGTGAATGTTGGACATAAATCAATCAAAATAAAGCAAATAAAGGAACTGAGAGACACAACCCATAAATGCAAGCATGAAAAAGATTCCAGTTGTTCTGACTTGGCTATGAGTAAATTAATAGTGAATTCTTTTGACTACCAGTTATACTGTCAGAGAATTGTCAACATTTCAGTGTGGGATAATAATGTAAATTGGTGTGGTGCATACTAAAAGAACACAGATGAGTTCTGGTGTGGTTTTTAACAGCAAAGAATGCACACAATGGCATGACACCATCCAAATCCTCTACCCCTAATTCCTCAATTCCAATTTAATCAAATAGTTCCTGTAACATAATTTTTCCAAGAACACAAACTATCATGTTGTAGGATAAATGGCTGTATTACAAATAAAACCTATACAATTATCCATGTTTTGAAGCTTTAGTGATATATTTAATTTAAAATATATTAGTGAGTTCTTTGTGTATGTCCATCTGTCTGCTCCTTGATTAAACAGACATAAATACTGTACACACTAACTAGCTGATATTTGTAAAACATCAGTAAGAAAATCATTCCACTGAAAAACTCCCTATTTTGGTATATTTTCCTTAACTTTCTGTTATCAAGAGCATGAACATAGCCATTGTACGAACAGGTAAGGTGTTCAATTAGTGTTTTAGTATTATACTGGAAAAGACTCTTGGAAGAGTGTGATTACTATGATTTATATGGAAATGAAAATATATTTTGGTGTGATAACAAATTATTGGGGAATCATTATACTATAACCTGAAATCAGAAGTATGTAGGGTGACATGTTATAAACATCTGTATGCGCTAGAAGGCATTACCTTTTTTTAAACCTATATGGCATAATTATTTTGAGCCCTAAAATGCAATGCACAGCACTGAGTGCTTTATAGATACTTATATGGAAAGGACAGCATGATTGCTCACCCAGCCTGTTGCTGAGACACATTGGCTCCTGATACAAATTGCAGTGGTGTGACTAGGAAGTGTGTGAAAGCCACAACTGCAGCATCATATACCATATTCACAGTCCATATGCCTGGCAGTAGTGGTTCACGGAGTAACGGTTTTACATAATTACCCTGCCAAACAATAAAAAGGAGTATTTGAGGTTTTCACAGCTGTAAGTCTGAAGATGGCTGTCTTCTGGGTTGTTGCGCTGTGTAGTCTGGTACAAGTCCTACCAGACTACACGGTGCTACAACCAAAAAAAAAAAAAAAAAAAACAATGAAAGACGAAGTGCAGAATGTTGCACGGGTTTGGTGAGGGCACATCTACACATAACAAGATGACAACGCTTCAGTCACCAGTCACGACTCTCCTCCTCGTCTTACGCGATGTCTAGCTTAAAATTAAACTTGCGCAATCACCGCATTAAAGACGGTGGCTGTGGAACATGACCTTTGACCGACTGATCTAGCATTGTCGGACTTCGTGACCAGAATTATGCCACACCCAAAATTAATTCAGTCGCGATTGCGGAAATGACCCGTGCTTCGGAATTTGAAGAGAAATTGATAATTGGGGTCACAACGATGCACCGTCATGCAGTTACTCCTCGGATTTCTTTCAATTATGGCTTACACCTATTTTAAATGAGGTGCTAGATCATTGTAAAAGCTTCGCGTATCAGCTGCTTTCGTAATCTCATAAGGAAAGTCATAATATGCATGTCTCTATAAGAGTGTTCCACATTAGTTAAAAATCTCAAGAAACACAGTCATTTATTATTAAATTCTATGGTCTCTAGGTACTTATACAGAGAGGCCTTCCTTCCTGATATAACCATATAAATCAATAGCAATGCATTCACACATTTGTTTTATCAGTATTTCTTAATGTAATTGTATCTGATGATAAAATATAACTAAAAGACAGGTAGCAATGATGGTGGTAATAACAGCAGCAGGAGTAGGTTTAAGGGAACATCAACTATAAGAGTTATTTTGAATATTTAATGGCCCTCCTGGAGTGCTGTGTATGGCTCTTCTAACATCCAAATCATAAAATTTAATTCCCATTATAGTTAAAATTGAAGGCAAAACATATTATTATACAGCACATATAGGCTATACATTTAAATAGTTCCATAAAATGCAGGTATGTGATATAAGAATGAAGATCACAAAACACTTTTAAACATGGTCATAACAGCAAATTGGAAAAAAAATGGATTGTGGTCTTGACTACATGGAATCATAACCCACAAGATCACTCCCCAGATCCAAATCTCAGTGTTCCACTCATTTCTATAGACACCTGCATGCAGAAAAGTCTGAAAACTTGCTTTATATTTTAAAAGAAGATTAACTTTTTACACACTAACAGTACCTTCCGTGCAATAACTACACAGATGTATGCAGTTTAATCCACAAAACACTATCCCCACATTTGAGATGTGTACAGATAATATAACCCAGCAATATTCATGACATCACCATGTGTGTGTACTGGAGTAAAAATAGGCAGTAAGAAGTGTATTTTTTATATTAACCTGTTTATTAGCAGATGGTACTCAAAAGCATATATTCCTGTTACTGAGTTCACACATGTATCCTTACCACAAGTCCATCCTCCACATGTACTTCAGATACTTCAACCAGCTCACCAGCTGGATCCACCCATAAAAATGTAACATTATATGTTGATGGTTGAGGGTTAACACCTAACTGATACACCAGAATGGGCTCTGAAAAGGGCCCAAGATTATGCAGGAAATTGCGGGACATCTGTTCCTTTTGGTCATACTCTGAACTAACCAGAAATGTCTGAAAAACAAATTAACAGCAAGATGACAAATCACAAAAACAAAATGCATTCTTTTTCACTTACATTTAAACCTAATCATTGAAGAAGTGCTAACCATTTAGCATCGACATACAATAATATCTACAACGTTATGCAAATATTTTATATAAAGGATGACTTCAGTTCCATTATAAGGACTCATTATAAGATCTCTGGCATGTCTTGTCTGAAAATCAAATTCTTACTTTTTCACATGCTTTTGGAAACCTCATGCACCAGTGGTATAATACTGGGTCCAACTGCATTTGTCCTTCCTCAGCTCCAACAAAGTCAAAATGTAAATGTAAAGTACCATAGTTTGTGAATATGAAGCCCTACCTTCTCTGTTATTCAATTATTTAAATCCTCCAGCACTGAGATTAGCCATTTGCAATTCTTTTTGACATTCTGTGTATTCTTTATGGAAGATAACATTCCATCTGCATTCTATGTTCAATAGTAAAATACAATTGTACAGTTTTTAGTGTTCATCCACTTTTGAATTACCCCACACTGCAAAATTATTTTCAGAATTTTCTACGATGTTAATTGAGACTGTAGGATGATTTCATGCAAGCTGTAAGTCATCACCAATACACTGTTATAATAATACTTATAAATTATTGTTATTTTACCTTTAATCTTCTACTAGGTTCTGTGTCTTTCAAAATTGTCATATAATGTTGTGGCTGCACCCATGTTTCAATTATTACTGTCTTAGAACCACCATTTACTACAGCTTCATACAGTAACAATGACCCCTAGAATCAAGTGAAAGTAATTTAAAATCAAACTAAGAAAAACTGTCTTGAGAACACATCAAACAGCTAGTGAATCTAGTAAGGAATAAACACAATAATATACCATATATGAAAAAGAGGCAAGGTATAATGGAGAGACTTTGAAATCCCCCCCATACAAAAAAAAATATTCACCCACAGTTAACTTCTGTCTTGGCAATCTGGAAACCATTTCATAAATGTAATAATGGTGAAGCACAAGAGATTATGTAAATCATTAAGCAGATGAAAATCCTCTCAGTGGTTAAGATGTTGATTGTGGTCTTTTAAGTTCTGATACCATGCAGTTGTGTAGGTGGTTACTAGTGACTAAGAAGAATGTTTCACATCAAACTTACACCCCAAAGATGGAAGAAATATGTTCCTCAGAAACACTGGTAAACTACCTACAACACTATGCAGTGCCACAACCCACATCGTGTCAGTAATGTGTGTGTGTGTGTGTGTTTTAATTAATGCTTTTTAATTTAAAACAATTAAGTCACTGAATGTGTTCTTTTCTGTGTTTAACAATGATTGTAGTCTGTTACCTTCCACAGGCAGAGAAAACTGTGCTAAAGCATACATTATAGCAGAAGAAAAATCCACAAGAGAATCATGATACATACCTTATAGTTGTCATTATTATGATATGAAGTCACTTCAAGGACATTGCCTGGATGAACAAAGCAACTATTTCCATCAGCTCTAAGTGCAAGACCCTTCGAAGACAAGCGAGTCAAGCTGGCTGCTAGAGTCACAAGGGAATCATCAGGTGGTGGACTCAAATCTGCACAGTGGTACACACTCTGCCAGTAGCTCTGTAGGTTTGCTACATCTGTACAAAAGCAGTAAACAACAGTTCTGAGAGTTTTCTTGAGCTTCAATATGACAAAGGAAGTAAATATGCACAATAAAGAAGTTCATGTGCGTTCATATTTAAAATGTACCTTAAAAAACAGGATGTGAGGGTTTCAACAGGTCAAGGATAATGGTCTTATGAACAGTCGTGACGCATGAGGTTCTTAAAAGGCAAAAAAACTTCTTGACCAGTTATGAGACTATAAATTTTAAAGACAGAGTTTGATATTTTTGGTCCATGCTCCCTGAGAATATTGAACATAGGGACTCATGAAAATTTTAGCCAGATTTCACAACAGAATGTCCACAATTTTTTAAATATGTCTTAAAAATTCAATATAACTTGGGTTCTCAACAATTTCAAAGCTATATAGTGTTTCAGTTTCAATCTGATTTCAGGTATTCATGGTGGCAAGCATGAAGATGACAGCCTTCTGGAATATTGTGTCTTGTAGACTCATAGAAGGCTGTCATTTCTGAAGTGTTTAAAGACAAAAGATATGAGGTTTGATACTGTATCTGATAATAATGTTGGCAGAATGCAAGAGATTTTGTTCTGACAATATTGCAGGGTAATAGTTCAGCCCAGAAATGTTTACCAGTCCATGTTAATAAAAAATTAAATCTAAATTTATGACAAAACTTTAAAAAACTTTATATAGACTTAAGAGAATGTATATAAAATTGTTAAGAAATTATATATTTTTCAATAAACTAACGGAAGAGAAGGAGGACAGCTTCTTTTGAATTTAAACAACTGTTTATAAGTTACTTCCCATGCTTTAATAAGAAGCAAACATTCATGTGTCCATGCTGGATAGGACTGCTCATGTAAAATAGTGACTTGAATTACTCACTAGAAGGGTACGGTCCATATAGCCATTCTTCCACTTGATCTATTATGGCTTGATTAATGACTGGTTCAAATTTACGTGCAAAGAACAACTGACGATTCTCAGTGCCCTGCAACAATATAATTCATGCTTCATAAACAGTGTATGCCATAAAACATAAATAACAGACCCAGACAGTTTTCAGTTAAAATTAAATTTCATTTTAAGAAGAACCTGGAAATGTTATCTAGTACAATATATTATGATACACGAATAGTGTATTCACATGGATAATAAAAAAGTATGAAAACAGATGGTTCATTACTGTGTTCACATGATCCCGCCACTGACCAGACAAATCCAGACCAAACACTTCTACCTTATTTCTTTAAGATCTGTGTTAACATTATCCTTCTATCTTCATCTAGATTTTCCAAGTAGTCTCTTCCATTCAGGCTTTTTGAACAAAACTATGTACACATTTCACATCTCTCCCATGAGAGCTACATACCCTGCTCACACCATCCTCATATTACAAAGCTAGTCATTATGCATTTTCATTTAGTCTCCTGTTACTTCCTCCATCTCAGGTCTAAATATTCACCACACCATCCTGTTCTCAAACATCCTCAAGCTATGTTCTTCCAAACCACTATATTTCTATAATAAATTAATAACTCTGAATTCTACACTTATATCTTTATTACTATTATTAAATATTATTGTCAGCAACAGTAGCATTTCAGTTATCACCTGTAAACGTGGCCAATCCTCTGGCTTAAAGTCATTCGGACTGCATCCGCACCAGTCCACTACATGCTTATATTGACATTTGCAACCCAAACGGCGCTTCCAGTTCGTTACATGAAGATTGTTGTCTATATATGTATCACAGAAATAAGAGTTTCTTAATGCAGTATGGAAGAAGGACTGAAACATAATCCATAGGTCGCATTAATAACAGAACACTTCAACTCTTTTACTATTTCTAGTTTCCTAACAAGTGATGGTAGAAAAACTGGACCCTTAGTTACCAGCAGAGAGAAAAAAAAAATTGTTACCTATGTATCACTTTTGCATAACTTATTTGTAGAATCAATTGCAGGCATTTAATAACAAAAATGTTGCAAAAGCAACAGAAGGCAGAAAAAATATATATCAACTGGGAATGGTAAGCATATAAAACATGTACACAAAGGACTTGCCACTTAAAAGAGTTGTGTTAGCACAAGTAATTACTGTAATTAGAAAAATTCTGAAAAATGGAGACACTTACTTCAGCAGGCAATAAAGTATGTTTAAATACTGTGTTCAGGCCCTCTACTAAAGGATCCTTTTGAATATGCACATCTTGAACAGCAGTTGCAACATAACCAACAAATGGTCTAGAGAGGGCCACCCAGTCACTGCCACCATCCATCTGGATACCCCAAGGCAAACGTCGATCACCAGTCCGCCACATATGGGCATCACATTCAACAAACGTTTTATCTAATCCCTGTTTCTGTATGAAGCGTTGTACTTCTCGCCCATGTGACTTTACAAAGTTCTGCCCTTTGTTTGCTGTTAGGAAATCCACTAATTGATTATTGGTCCTGTAAAATGAAATTATAAAATAAAGGAGGAAAGTATATTAATTAAGAATAAAATTGTGATGATTTGCAATTATCTGAGAACACACATTCCTGAATTATGTAAAATTAAGAACATATAAAACTGTGCATACTTAGAACACATTTTCTAAAACATTCATCATTTTTAAACAAAGATTTACAAATTTTGTACTTACTTAACTGGAAAATCAGACTCGCTAAGATTAATGACAAAATCCCATTCCCATCCTAACTTAAGTAACTCGTTCATAGACGTCAGCAACATTTGCAAGAGTGATGCTCCTCCCCAGATGGTAGCATAGCGATGTCGAGCAAGACGAACATTTGGAAGGCTGCGTTCAAGAACCAATAACTCACGGTACAAATAATCTTGTCTCTGTCAAGATACCAAAAAAAATACATCTCACATTTTAGAAGATGTGATATTTCTTCACATGTTGACCAAGCAGCAAAAAATTATTAATTATATTCAAGTGAGCAGAAATAAACACGAAAATATGCAAAGACGAAGGCTCTCACAGCAGTGAAGTTACCAGTTGTAGTCTTCTGGGTTGTGATGCCATGTAGCCCTGTAGGTGGTTACATGTTTCAGAGAAATGTACTGCCCCCATCTTCAGGGTTGACATCAATCTTGAAAGTATATAATAATTTAATACCTTTTAGCTACAATTGACATTCACAAGTTAACCAATTAGCTTTTATTACACTTTGTAAAAAGTACATAACTTGTATACTTGATAGACACATTTTAATTAACACATTATCATCATGTCCCATGCTAAAGTTTATTATCTGTCTCACAAAACACCATTAGGATGATGGTATGTGGGGGGCGGATAAGGGGGAGATCTGAAATCCATATAAAATTTGGTTGGAACAGCACCACTTGGAACACCTTGGCACAGACAGGAGGACAATATTAGATCTGTCTTACAGAGTGGAAGGGCATGGATTGGTTTCATTTGGCTCTTGTGAGCATGGTATCGAACCTTTGGTTGCATAAAAAGCAGGGAATTTCTCGACTATTTGAGAGTCTATTAGCGTTGCAAGTAGGACTCTGCTCCATGTACTTAATTATGTTCATCTCAGCTTCCATCATTCAACCATTCAAACTATATTAGATGAGGAATAAGAACTATGAAGCTTCTCATCAAATACTTCTTTTTCTTCTTCTTTTCCTCAGCATTTGTCCCACTTTGGCGGGATCTGATTTTTTCCTCTCTTTTTTGGAGGTTGTGTAATCTGTTTAGACATTTGGTAGGACTCCTTGGATGAGTGATCAGCCTGTCGCAAGGCCTCTACCTGTATACAGGACAGCACAACACAGAAAGATGCAGACAAACATCCATACCTTGAGTGGGATTAGAACCCACGGTCCCAGTGTCCAAGCGGCACAAGGCCCATGCCTCAGACTGCGCGGCCATCTACTTTCTCATATATAAGTAGTGTCATTTATTATCAGTTGATGTTAGCAGTTGAACATATATGCCCATTTTTAAAACGTTCACAGTATGACTGGAAAATTCAGTGATCAACATGCTGGTAACTGATCTGGTCATTCAAACATCCTGATTTTATAGTGTGTCATCAACAAATGAGAATGCACTCACAGTCAAAAGAATAACTCCAACTTAGCATCATTCATGGAATGTGATGGTTTGTCAAAGCCTGGAGTGAAGGGTTTCATGCAGAAATAAAGCACTTACACCCCATCCTGATCTTGGAAATCCAGGATATCAAACAATAAGACCCCGCAACCATCACAGCAGTGGACATGCATTTGGAATTTTAATGAACTGAGAAATAAAAAAAATACATAGCTTAATTGAAAGAATAAATAAGTGTTTTGCTGCATGTAAGCCACTAGAATGTCAAATGTAAGTGAGCTTTATACTCACAGCATCAACATGAATGTAGAAGAAATGGTCCCTATGGAATAAGACTTTTATGAGCCGTCGCACCTGACGCAGTGCTCGTCCGTTGAGAGTCAAAAGAAAGGCAATTTTCACTGGAGGTTCTCCAGATTCTGCAACTTCTCTTGGCACTTGAGGTGTAAATTCTTTAAAATAAAATCACAGAAAATTAAAAAAAACTCACACTTTAAAATAACAACAAAAAAGATGCTGTAGACAGGAACTTTGATGTGGTAATCTTCCAAGTACCATAGCCTCCACTATGCTACAAATCTCATCACAAGCTTCAATATGATGCCTTTACCTGGGGTCATTTTCAATTAACTATATCTCCCATTCAATCTGCTTGCTGCACAATTTTAAATGGTAATAAGTAGCCACAGACTCCAATCAATTGTTAAATATACCATCAAAATATCCCTGGCAGACTTGAACCCTTCTCAGAAAAATGTAATAACTAATCAGTGTTTAATTTCACTAAATCCATGATAATGACAGAAATATGTAGAATCTTTCATCACTCTGAACAGAACTGAGTTGATTCCAGAGTTCATGCAATCAAAAGGCATCACAAAATTCACACATTTTCCAACTGCTATTTTCATACCAGACAGCCTACTGAATATTCATAGTATGGACCAAATTACATCTGTAAAACAATAAAAAGAATGAAAACTTGAATTTGTTGTTTGTTAAAACAACCTCTCTCCTTCACCAACGAATTATTACTTACTTGCTATGCCTGTTTCAAAGACATTGATAGTGAAGTAACCTCCACAAGCTTCTTTAGGGTCAGCTGGGCACTTCATGTTACAAGATGAGTCAGGGCGGCGAGATGCGGACGGAGGCTCCTCATTTCCACAGAAACATTCAGTTCTAAAATGTCCGACATTATTATTATTATTTATTTAAGCCTGATAAAGAAAGAATTACACATTTTATAACCCTGAGTATTTAGGAGCAGGCAAAGTTACTGTACAAGGTACAGGTGACTCACTGACCTGATGTTGGAGGCAGTAGGCACTTCTGAAAGGTCAGTAGACTTCTATGAGACTACATGGCACAATATCCCAGAAAGCTGCCATATTTAGTGCTATTATTAGTGCATATGAACAAATATTACAGACAGGAACACTGAATTTATACACTTACGAGTATTGCACACCAGCATAAGGGAATCCAGACTGAAGGCACATGTTGATGCAGTGTTTTGGTGAGTTTGTGGTTTTGAGGTTTGCATAATACCCAGAAAGCAAACGAAATTTTTTTTCATCTCGGTAGCAACCTAAAGACTTTCCTGCTGTGAAACCTGGAAGTATAGCATATACCACGCTGTTTAACTTGGAAGGAGAAATGTTAGGAAAACACATGTAGTGTGCACAAGGATTCATGGAAGTGATGCCTTTGGCCTGTCCTTTACTGAAGTTGTAAATGGTGATCTTCTGATTGTTATTATCATACCCTTTCCTTGATGACACAAGGAAATTAAATCAGACCAAAAACTTGTGTCTCAGACCAAAGAGAATAAGAAAGGCAGTAGTGATATATTTATAGATAAACACTTTCAAAGACAATCAAAATTCAAGAACAAATACACAAAATGTATAATATATGGAATGCCAGTGTACATATGAAGCAGCAAGTGTTTTCCTGTCAATAGATCCTTAAATAACATTATTATCCTTATATAGAACTATAACAAATAAAGCAAACAACTCAGTCTTATAAGCAGTACATATCATTGTTAAAAGCAAAACAATTTCTGATTCAAACTTTGTTTTGACATTCTGGCATTGTGGCATGTTCTGTATTATTACCTGGTGATGGGCATGAGTTAGGAAGGTGATGGGGGTACAGCTGCCTTTGCTGTATAAGGCACGTAATGTTTGCCAGTTTTTGTTTGCAGAGTTGTGTCTTGGCACGATGAATTGCAGATATTGCTTCTTTAGCTACTATATCACACGCAGGCACAAAATCTAATTCTTCTAATCTTAAACTAGTACGATTTAGTCCAGGAGATCCTCCATCCTTACTATTAAACTTAGGCACTTTCACTATGGCACCTCCATTGCTCCTAACCATGGAGTCTGATTTATCAGGAGGAACTTTGTTTCTGATGTATAACCCATTCACTGGATTGCTATTGCTTGGACTGTCTTCATCATCTACTACAAAATAATTTTCTTTAAATCTTCTTGATGAAACTCCACCATTCAGATCCTCATTTACAACCTGAAAAGTGAAACAAACTTTTAATGATAAAACTAAATTTAAAACAAATAAATATACCAATTTCTGTTCTACTGCCTTGTTTCAAAGAAGCAAAAGTAAAACAAAACAGTAGTTATTCTTATGAAACCATGTTAATCTAGCACTATTAAAAGCCTTCAAAATTGCCACCCCTTATCACCTACTAGGCCCATTACACATAAAATCCAATTTGTGCATAGACCAGCCAGCTAGAAACTTGTTTGCCCACAGCTTGCAGCCAAATGTTTGCTTAGCCACCCAGTGCTTACTGACATATCAATAGAGCAGCTTGTTTGGCATGATTGGTTGATCTCAAGATACATACAAGTAAAATTTACAATTGTGAAGTAAGAATACGATACTGCAGGTGGTTTCAGTTATTTGTATTTAAGAACTTTTTCACCCAAAACTGGTGTTTTATTCGTAAGATTTGAGGTTTTCACAGCGGTGAGTATGAAGATTCTTGTCTTCTGGGTTGTTGCGCTGTGTAGTCTGGTTGATGTTAGCCAACGTTTCAGAGGTCATACTGCCTCCGTCATCAGGGCGATGAATGTGCCAGTGGGGTGTGTGGGGCTAGTTTTATAGGTACCAGAGTGTGAATGGAGTAGCCTGCCCTGAGCCAATGGGAGCAGGCGTGGATGTGTTTTATTCCTTAGAGGCATAGTAAACTTTAAGTGGTTAAGTAAAGAGCAAAAATAACATACTGGAGCATAGAAAATTCTCGTGCTGTTCATGAAATGCCACTTCATGATTAAAAGTTGGGGTTTGGTGTGCAGTTAGTGCACAATTCAACCCATATCTTTTTTCAATTAATTCCGAACGTTGTGTGAGATTGTTATGTCACCCTCCGTCAACTGACTAATGCAAAATCATACGGGCATTTCATGCAAAATAATCCAACAGCATACACTTAAAACAATGATTGCATTGTATGAAGTCTTTGGCGAACGAATCATAAGTTCGGGACTGTGGCCTACGCGGTCACCTGATTTAAATATCTGTGACTTTTATTTGTTAAACTACAGCGGTAAAGCGGGACGTGAATAACCCGCTATTGTGGCGGGTCTATGCGAGAAACGTGCCGTGCTAGCTGCGGGATCCACTCTAACCATTTACAGTGCATCCTTTATATACATATATATATATATATAAATACTAACCTCTAAATTTAATCCTTTTCCTGAAAGGTCTCGATGCTCCTGAGCTGACTCATCTCCTTCAGCGTCAATTGGAAAGAATCTGTAAGCTAGGAAGACTTGGATACTCAATATTACACTACCTACAATGAAAAATGCCCGATATCTACGAACCCATCTACTGTCAAGGTTCCTTGCCGGAGCCATATTTACATCGAAGTCAGTCATTTGATATACAGAGGGGTTTCTATCAAAAACTCTTTCGTGGATTTTAAAATGAAGAAGATTTAAAAAATAAAAATTAAATTGATGTCACTTGTGCTCCAGTGAACAATTTTCTACCAAGCTTATTTGTTTTTTGTTTGATGTATATGACCCATGTATTTGATGATTCATTCTTTTGTTTAAGAATGGCCGGAGTGCTTGAAAGTTTGAGGGAAGAAGATTTCGTTCAGTATTACTTATTTCCTCTTGAGATTGAAGACATTATTAACGCTAATGAAGAAATACATCGGGAAGTGAAGGTGACTTTGTCCTATGTGTTGTCCATAGTCCGTAAATACAGTGAAAATTATATATGGCATAAAGATTCCTTCAGTGTCACCCCTGTTACTGCACCATTGTTGTCATTGTATTCTGAACAGAATTGTAAAGGTATGTAGTTTTATCAACTGACGGTTTTATAACTAATTTAGTACATTTTATTACATCATTAGTTTTATAGAAATGATAGGCTGAGTTTTAGAATTGGATCCACTCATTTTCTGTTGTTACATACATAAAATGTACGTAGTTGAAGAAGCGTCGTTAAAGTAACGGTTATTTCAAGTTGCACATGTTCAAAATGTTAGTAATATTGGCACAGTAGCAGTTGCTTTGTTATGTTATTTGGTTTTATAAATTGTGACAGACATGTAACTGGAATTGGTTGAGTTGGCTGGGGTTAAGTATGTTTGAATGTTTATATAAATTTATGAGGTTATATTATTAACGTAAAATTACCATATACATGATTTGTTGGCCCAGGAAGAAACAAATAGGAGGTGGGAGGGGAAGGTCATCACTTAATTTGGACATTTACCTTTCTCTTATGTGAGGTTCTTGCAGTATTTGATTGTAAAGAAGTATGAGCAATCATATCAAAGTCAGCAATTACTGTAGATAATGATTTGTATTTTTACCCTGTAAACTAGCATATGGCATTACAATCATTTCTGATTCACTGTCATCCTCTTGTTTGATGCTATATAGTCTTAGCTACTGAAAAACAATTAAATAAACTATAAATAAATAAATACAATCATTTTCACAAAATATGGTCATGTAGCACACTTTGGGGCTGTTAAATGTTCATGTTGGTAATTGTATACTGTAAATCTCATAATTCTTATTTTGTAATTTGCTTTTCGCCATACTTGATTAGTTATAGTGGAAGTCTTCCAAAGTGTGTATCCATTGTACTGACCATCCATTAATGATTTTATGGTTTACGTTAAATTAAGAATAATCTGTATCAGTCTATTTTTGCAAATGATTGACATAAACAGAAATGTGATTCAGCTTTAAAATTTATTTTCTTTCTTTAGGCCCTTTGCCACAACATTTTTATGGCAGTTCACATTACGGAGATAACATAGAAGATGAATGGTTTATTGTCTATTTGCTGCTGCAGTTAACAAAAGAAATTGATGGATTGGTAGCAAGGTAATTTTCATATTCTTTTTTATTATTTTGCTGGCTAATTTTATTCTATAATTACTTGACATTTCAATATCATTAACACAGACTTGTTCATTTGTAGACATCTTTGACTCTCTCTCTTTTTTCTTTTTTTCCCCCCTTCTTTCACTGACTGGTTTAATTCCATAAAAGTCTGTTAATATAATACAATATAATATAATATCATTAACACAAGGTTAATCATTAGAATTATCTAGACTCTCTTCCAAAGGGTTGCACTGTACTATTGTCTTCACTTTTGTTATTAAGACATTTGATGTTTAAATACTGTACAATTGAGACAGTACTTCGTTTATTTGAAATTCAGTTTTTCTTTCTTGGTTCCTTTCATTTCAGATTAATGAGATTTTACGTTATTTAACATGCAAACAATTGGAAACCTTCTAATTTTCTTAAATCATACATGTCACATGCAACAAATATTTAAGGTTCAGTGGTAGAGATAATCAAGTAATTAAATTTAAATATGTAATAGAATTTGAGGCTTTCATGACAGTGAATCTGAAGATAGATCAGGGTACCCTAATGATGGACGCAGAAAGGAACTCTGAAATGTCAGCAGACTTCTACTGGACTACGTGGCTCAACAACTCAGAACACCACCATCTTCAAATCTAAATATATCTGCATCAGTTCAGTTTATGGATTTTTTGTTTTATATTTGCAGAGTTGTAGATTCAGATGGTGAATTCTTGCTTATTGAGGCTGCAGATTATCTACCAGATTGGGCCAACCCAGAAACCTGTGAACAAAGGGTAAGTGCATTTTCCACATTACTGTCAAGGATCAAGCAAGAGTCATGTTGAGAATAGAAATTTTCTGTAGCATCATAACATTTAGTCAGGATGGGACCTGAAGTTTTGTTTATAGTACTACTTGAATTTAATTTACTTCTGTTCAGACTATACTCATTGTTATGCACTTAATACTGCAACTTTTCAGGTATATATCGGCATATATTTCTGTAACAGTTGCAGTTAAATCTTTATATTACAAGCTGCCATGTAATGAAGAAAAATTTTTGGAGAAAAACTCTTATATAATAAATTCATAAAATCATTCTATCATTAAATTAAATATGAATGAGCTGCTATGGTGGCTCTGAATTTGCATTTATATTTTACTTTTTGGGTCTTCCATATACAGCAATCTGCTCAGTTTACCCTTTATCACTCATCCACTTTTGGATGCGTAAAGCTGTTTGTGTGGCATTGATTAGCTCAGGTATATTTTATCAGTAGGTAGATCTGTGGATGTAGCATCAGAGGAATAGAAATGAAAACAACCCATTTCAGTGAATTTAAAGACTAGCAACACAAGTAAAATATTTAGATTGCATTTTCTTTCTTTCTTTGTTATTAGGTTGTTCCAAAAATAGTAACTTGAGTATAAAGCTTTTTGCAAATGTGTCTGAATTTCACATAAAATTAAAACTATGATGTATTTGATATATTAGATTTAATAAAAACTAACTATTTATTAAGCATAATTATTCTGTATCATATTGTAGGTTTATTTGTACCAAGGAGCTGTACATATTGTACCCATGGAACAAGAAAATGGACAAAACAGTGATTTCTTGTCTGTAGTGGATGCAATATTCCAAGTACGTAAACAACCACAGAAAACTATAGCTTCACAAGCAATCCAAGATGCTGTTCAAGCAAGGATTGGAGGGTGAGTTGACATATATGGGATTCTGGTTTATAGACTTTGTGAATAGTTTACCTAGTCTGTTACTAGCAAATATATGGGTCAGGATATTAACTTGCCATAAGCTCTATTACTGTGCAGCTTGAAATTGACTTTTGATGTTTCTTTGAGAAAATGTTATTTGAAACATTAACATTTAATTTTTCTTTGTAATGTTGTATGGTTTAGGTTTTTTCCCCAGATTAGTTAGTAGTTATATACATGGAATAAGTTCATAGTGTTTACAGAAACCATTTGAAACTTTCTAGCATCTTCTATAGAAATTATAAACAGACACATCTTCATATTTTGTGGACATAAATTTATAGCTGATAAAAGGATATGCTGTAATCGTAAAAAACTTAAAATGACATTTTGAAGCAAATCACCTTTAAACATACAGGGTGTTTCAGTCTTCCATTCATTGTTTTACTACCATGTGTTCACAGTGTGAGACACCAGTGCTGAGCAGGTTTTCAATAATGAAGTCACTTATTACCACACAATCTGATTAGACATCTACCTAAATTCAGAAAATGGTTTCTGTAAAACCACTTTACTTACTGTTATTACAGTAACTGCTGAAAGTGATATCTTCCAGTATCCAAAGACATTTCATGACAACATATCAAATTCTGTGACAGACATAAAATAAAGTGGGCTTTACAATACTTCTAGCATTTACAATAATCATGTATGTTCAGGGGTGCCTCACATTGAGTTAAAGAAAGCACATATCAAGGCCAGTTCATATACAAGAGAATTGAAATGTGAGTGGGAGAAAATACTGAACTACTAAACCAATCCTACTGGTCTTCTGATACAAGTAGGAGTAAAGGAGAGGAGTCATATTTCAAGTCTGTTGTATAGGACAGATCATAGGATGAGATGATAGTTACCAATAATCGTGACTTTACAGTTTGAACTGATATTTACTGTCTGTAGTTTATACATTTTTAAACTTTTAAATCAACTTCATATATAGTGGTTTAAATGTTTGTTTGACTGTTTGCTTCAGTTACCCTGGTAAAATTGTTGAATTACTGCATCGGACAAATGCGTATGTTCCGGTTGGAGTTGCAGCCCTTCTGAAAGAGAAGCCAAATTTAATTTCACCAGCAGTTCTAGCTTTTTGCAATAGGGATCCAATTGATATGAAGGTAAGCAGTTTTAGTCTTACATTATTAGTTGCACAACTGATTAGTTTCTTAGGGTATTTTCACTCTGTTGCTGCCAACACCTATATCTGCAATAATGTATTTTAATATCCTGCTTATTGTGAAGAATAAGTACGGTTCACTTCTGTTAGGTCTGTGTAGGAAACTGAACAAGAATGTTGTTTTGAGAAGTTTGAAAATCTGGTTTTAGTGATGCACTGTCATTATAATGTAATATTGAATATTTGGAAGTAGTCACACAGTACTTTATATCTCTAAATCATGAGGTGGCAGTCTTTATATTTGTTAGAAATATAGTTGTAATGCCTTACTTATCCTGTATTGTTTAATACATTTTAAGTAATTTCATGTTAAACAGGAAAGAAAGTTGTACCACATAATGTTGCCCTGAAACATACATTTTAAACCTATGATGTCAGCAGTTCCAGGATAGTAGTCATACAGAGCACCAATTAACATAACTAATTTAGTCATAAACTTCCTTCATAGAAGAGATTTTTTCTTGGAAAAGCTAATTGTCATTCAGCTGGTCAAGAAATCCCTTCTTTCTTGGAACTTGAAGGTTCATTACTATACTTAATTTGACTGTCCCTTAGGGACAGTTAACTTGGAATTATAAAATTAATGTTTTTAAAAGTATTGTTTTTATTATAATTAAGGCCCAGAAAAATATAATCATTTATTGGCCATATATATTCACATTTCAAATGTCACTTTTTTGACCAGTTATATTGAACACCACATACCACAAACTAATGTTAATAAATCTCCAAGTACATGCACACACACAATGGTCTCCATGCAATACATGAGACATATATGACTTTATATGCATAGGCATGTTTTAAAGAAAGTACCAATGGGATATTGCAGCAAGAATGCTTATTTGATTTGTATACATTACAGTAGCATGCAGACTATTGTGATATTTCATTTTTGCGACAGGTGTGTCGAGCTATGCGTTACTTTCCTCCTGAGAACAGAATAATGACAAGCGTGGTGTTTACTAAATGTCTCTATGCAATGCTGACTCATCACAAGTTCAACCCTGATCGACGTACTGGATGGAACATGCCTCCATCCAACAGCTCAGACTTCAAAGCTCATAATCTAGGAATGAAATTGGTAGGCTTTGTCATTATGTTTAATGCTATCAGAATAATTGTTTTGATTGTAAGCAGCATCTTTTGCATGCAAAATTGTTTTAGCTTTGAAAATGTTTATTGTGTTTTTACAATCCCATCCACAAAATTCTTTTTCCTGCCTCAGCATTTGGCTTTTGGGACACCTGGTGTAAAGCATACTTGAATTTTATGGACTATTTTACTTGGTAAGTTATGGCTGCATTTGAATTTAGAATATGAAAAATGTTGTCCTGGTTTTTTGAAAACGGACATGATGAGAAAGGAAAGAATACCAAAGCTTTCCCAGGTGTTTCACTTTTTGCAATTTTACCAAATCTACAATAGAGATTGAAGTTACTGCCATTTTATTTTGTAAATTAATACCATTTTATATTGTAAGATGAAACAGTTATCAATGAACCAAATAATATATGAGTTTTCTGTTAAAAATAAAGTAAGAAATCTGGTTACATGCCATGCATATGGAAGCAGTCAGTCAGTAGAGAAGAGAAGAAATGAGTTAATTTTTATTTCTGACTTTTTTATATAGGCCTGTGGTTTTGAGATCTTGGTTGCTCAAGCAAAGCCAACATCTCAAGGAGATAAGAAAACACAGAATCCTGTTGATCTAGATGGTGATCATGGCTGGAGTCAGTATCTGAATAACCTAAGAAAGACAGGGTACTTCAAGGTATGTTGCAGAGCAGAATTGTTGTGTTTTATTAGTGACAGAACTAAATATTGACAGTAACACTATTTACTACTTTCAAATGCTAATAGTCAGCAACTCTTTCCTTTAATCTCTGTGTTATTTAAATGCAAAATTGTATACTCCTTCTGACTAACATATCAGTAAATGTGTTTCTGTTATCGTGTGACAGACTGTTTTTCTTTAAACTATATGGTTTTGTGATTAATTAGTTGTGATATATGATTATTAAAACACTAAAATTAGCTACTAGAAGCATGAAAGTCTGAGGAACTCAAGTTAGCATGCACTCAGATTTTGTCTTGGTTTGTCTTAATTGTATAGTTTACATATTGTTTTAGAAATAAAAAGTATAATACGTTTTATTTCATTATTTTACCAGGATCTCTTGGAAGGTTCGAAAGATTATCAAAGCTTGATAGCAAAAGCTGAAGAATACTATATAAGTCACAGAAATTCAATGCATTGTGAACATTCCACAGGACAAGAAATACTCACCTTGTTAGGCAGCATTGAAAATGATATAGCAGAATTCAAGAAAGCAGAAAATGGTCTGCCACCCCCTGATGGTAAATTAATTTTGTGTGCATACCATTTGTGCCATTTATTTTGATTACTGTAGGAAGAATAGTATGGCAAGGTAGGCATTATAAATGATTGAACAACCATATTTCTTAAAAGAAACTTAAATTTTGCTTTAAATGTGGGTTTGAACTCAAAGTTTTTCTCTTACTTGCTGCTGATACTTGTCATTTGACACAAGTCAGGCATATTTCACATATCAGGAGATGGATTTAAAATCAGTTTACTAAGTAATTACACCATAGAATATTTTAATATCATTCAAAAGCACCTTTTTGGATTTTGATGTTAGCAACAAGTCCATTATTAATTTTAACAAAATCTGTAAATAAGAACAAAATAGGCAAAGATGGTTGTTTTTGGGTTGTAGCACCATGTATTCTAGTAAAAGTTTACTGATGTTTCAGAGGTGCTTGCTATCTCCATCATCAGGATGCTCAGGATAAGGTGAAAGAGATAAGAGGAAAATTATAAATGGATTGAGTGAAATAGTTTTGTGGTGATATGAACTATGTAGTGATGGATGACAGGGTTTAACACCAGCTCCTAAGTGAAGTATAGGGCCCCTCTAACATTAAATGAGTATAAATAAATCAAAATGGTAAGTGGTAAAGTGATCATTGGTCCTGTGAGATATGTATTTCTTGTCTAGATGAAAAATGGTTGGAATTGTGTCCAAAAGACTTGGATGCAATGTTGGAAGAACGATATGGACCAAAGAAATTTGTTGCAACAAACAGCAATAGTAATCCATCAAACGTATCTGCTCAGCTGGCAAAATTTATGGATCACATGTCAGGAGTAGATGGAGCTGAATATCCAGGGTATTGATTTATTCATTTCATTACTTCGGTATTGTACCACTTGTCTAATTACAGATATGTCTAATTTCAAAACCCTGGTATAGAATCAAGTTATATGTATATATATGCATGTATGTACATATTTGTATACAGAGATATTTCCCTGTGTATCTAGTCATTCATCCTTTCATCCTATGAAACAGACAGAATTTCCAGTAAATGACGTACACATTTAGGGAATAAATAATAAGGATATGAAGAAAATTGCATAATGAAGAGCTTCATAATTTGCACTCTGAATTAAATGTTATTTGAGCCATCAAATGAGGATGGATGACATGGGTAGTTCGTACAGCACACAAGGGGTAAATAAGAATTGTATAAAATTTTAGTTGGGAAAAATCTGGAAGAGAACACTTCACAGACTTAACATATGTGAGAGGATAATATAAAAATTGATCTTAAAAGGATATCTGATTGCCGATTGGATTCATGTGGTACAGGCTCTTGTGAAATTGGTAATTAACTTATGATTCCATAAAAGGCAGGGAATCTCTTGACTCTGTGATTATAAGCTGTTCACAAAGGACAGTAGCAAATGTACTACTTTATAATGAACAATTCATACCATAGGTTTAAAAGCTGACTCCACTCCAGGACATCTAAGCCGGTCAGGATTTCCTTTTTTTATTTCCCTGGCTTATTTTTTTGTCAGTGTTTAGAAAGACAACTCATAATTAAATTTGAACAAATGAACCATGGTATAGTATGTAGTACATATTAACTACATCATGTGCATAACCCATGACACATGATAGTCTGTTAATGTTTATTTCATTTTATTGCATATATTCCATTCCATGACATGTATACAAAAACATTTCCAGGTTCAGATTACAGAAAAATATTGGTATAGGGCACACAGTTATAAATCAGATTTAGCTTTATGAAATATTCTCCACCTGTTGATCCACATAATCTAATGAAGATTTATTTTACTCTCTTGCCTATTAGTAAACCTTAATTCTGTTTCTTTAATCCATTAGAACACAAGAAAAATCAAGTGAAACTGAAACTCCTCCACTTCGCCCAAAAAGAGGAATAAAGAAAGGGAAAGGTGTCAGCTTTGCTGCAGAAGTTAGAAACCGTGAGGAAGGGACTTCATCTCCCAGCTCAGAAAACAGAATATCATTTGACCAAGAAGCTTTCTCCTGTGCAGTCCAGAATATTCTTGGTAAGTCTGATGCTGTGAAATTAAATTATCATTTCAAGCATACATGTATATTATATACTGTAGTGTATATTAAATAACCTCAACCCTTGTGTGCTATTTATTCTACATTTGTGCTCAAATCTTCTGACATCATTTGTTTTGGTAGAAATTGTTGTTATCCAATTCTTCAGTTGACCAATGCCAGAAACACAGTGTCACTAATATTAATTGCAGCATTGAAATATTCTAGGATATTAAAAATGTTTTGACTTTGTCAGGAGATGGTGTAATTAAAGCAAAAGATAAAGGACATTGTCATCCAAAAAGAGTTTACTGAAGATATGTATATCTTACGAAAATGTAATTCTACATTCCCTGTTGTTTTCAACTAATTGCTACTATTAACTCAGTGAAGAGAGTGCTTTACTGAAACATCTTTCTGTCTTTTAAGATTTTGTAATACCTGAAGACAGCTGGGATTTGGAATCAGATGGCTCAGGTATGAGTTCATATGAAGATGAGATGGAAATGGATCTTGATCAATTGAAACCAGGTACATGTGTGTGTGATTTAATTATTAAAATTTTATGGATTTGTTATACAAGAGTACAAGAATCAGGTACAAAGAGCACTCATAACTGATGCATCTTTAAATTTATATACACATTTCTGTGAATACAAATATTTCCAGACAGTACAACACCTGTCATTGTTACAGAGTAAAATAATGTAATTGAAGTTAATATAGAAACATTACATCTATATAGACATTGAGGTTTAGTTTGTGATTTAACTTACAGGAAAAGAAAAGAAGGGGAAGGAACCAGAATTTGAATTAAAACAATACATGGACCAGATGGACCGAGAACTAGCCAGTACATCCATGGGACAGAGTTTTGAAAAAGCCAGCAATAGTAAAGATAAGGGCAAGGTATAGCATTCCTTTTTTGTATTTCATTACAGAGGTACTATTCTGCATATCAATAATTTCCCAGTACCAGAAACCAAATGTTTAATACCAATGACACTATAAACAATCCATTGGACATGATCCTGAGCCAATTCCATCCGCTTACCATCCTCACAACCTCTGTCTACAAGATCCATCACAATTGTATCCTTGCATCTCCTTCTATGTGAATGTTTTCAATGAAGTCTACACACAGAAAGTCTCTGTGCATTCTTCGCTCCCTCCATCCTAGTCATATGTCCGGCACATCCTAGCCTTCTGAATTTCACTGTTTGTTCATATTCTGAGGTTCTTTGGTTATATTATATTCTGTATTGCTCATATCATTTTGGGCCAAAATCTTTTTGTATGCACTCTGTTTTCTAACACTTGTACTGTATATTCCTTGTTCAGAGTATGAGAGACCACATTTCACAACCAAGTGAACAAAGTGGCAGAGTTCTTGTTTTACATATCCTTATCTTCAGCATCTTGGAAAGTATACTGGATGTTGGTCAACAGTTTCTGAAATTAATAACAACAAGCAATTCCTCTGTTGAATTTTTACTGTGTTATACCACCAGCTCTTGATCATCTAAGATCTTTATCTTGATTCTTTTCTTGAATATAATATATTTTGATGACTTGTTTGCATCATTAATTTTTCAGATTCCTAGTAATGCTAGTAGAAATTTCTTCCTTGAAGCACTCTACACTGTGGAATATGATATATTCATCTGTGAAACACAGTATATACTTTAGAAAATTATATATTGTAATGAAATGATTGAAAATATGGTGGTTTCAAGTGAGGTGTGTTTGAAGACACTACATAAAATGTTGACTATTTTTAGAAATGTTATGCTGTTCTGCTGCTGTCTTAATTTTTGATACCACAACACACAAACTGGATTGTGTCAAGTTGGCAAAGTGAGAGAAAATATAATTTTGCTTGTATTTATGATTTTTTCAGATTATGTGAATAAATTTACTTCTTATTTCACACCAAGAAACAAGCTCACCCATATAATGCAGTACAGACATCAGAAGAATCACAGGAACAGTTATGTGCATTCATAAGGTGTATGCTGTATCTGACAGTAAAATCAGACAAATGGACTTATAACTGTGGTTTCATTTATAAGTTAATGTTGCTTAATTCCAGAGACCTGTGAACAGCAGTATATCCACAGAAGGTGATACCTTTGAAGATATAGAAGCCTTTGACCCTGTGGATATTGATATGAATGCTCTGAAGAATATTTTGGAATCATACCAGTCACAAATGGGTGGACCTGGGCCTGCTAGCAACATGCTTGGTCCAATGGGTATAAGGTTAGAGTCAGAACCACAGACTCCAAAACCTGGGAATTCATAAAATGTAGGCTAGCTATGCAATAACTGCCAACACTTCCGGTTTCAGCTAATTATTAGATTACAGCTAAAGTTTCTTGAATAATGCATATATAAAATGTAGTATATAAGAATCTATCTTTCTTTCTTTTTTCATTATATGTCATTAAGATAAGGGTAATAGTTTAAGGGGAAAAGAGCTGCCATATATTTCTAGTTGGCTAAAGAAATGACAGCAAATTTCTGGTGGTTAGATAACTAGTTTTGAAATCAAGCTTCTCACCTAAAGAATCCCAGTAACTAAAACAGTTACTCTGTCATCCAACTTCTTTCCCCTCTGTCTTCTACATTTTTATACTAGTATTTTAAGCCTGTTTTCCATCAAAATATTATATTTGGTTAAATAAGGTTCCTGTCCTTAATAGGAATTGTCATTTTATTTTAAGATTTTTGTTCCTGTTGTGCCAAAATTAAAATTCTATTCTTGTTCTATAAAACTGAACAAAGCTGAAATGTCATTTCTGTTTTGGAAGTGGCAAACTTCACACATACTTTGTGTCATCTGTTTTTGTAAGTAGTTACAACCAATTCTTGTTAATCTGTGGTGGCAGCATAATTTTCTTGCCTTCTTGCATCCAATTACTGGAGCATATTTCTGTAGCAGTTTGAATAGGTACTTTGGAATCATCCCTCTTCCTATCTTCACTATCTTCTGTTCCTATTGGATCTTAAGCACACAGCACTATTTGTACATCTTAGTGAACCAGCCATCATGACCAGCCAGTTGGCAGTTGGTTGTTGGTCTCTTTATGTCTATTAATTAATCTGATTCATGTAACAATGCAAAATTTTGCAGCCTTATATAATATTAACAAGACGGTAGTTTGCATGAACTTGCAAGGGCTGAGCTCTGATTGGTCTGAAATCCAGATAACGCAGACACACTGAGATTTCATTTTTAATATCAGAACAAACTAAAACATGTACTCACTATTGATTCTGTACATGGAATTCATTCCTTGAAACAGACTGGTGTACCATCTTCAAAGTGGAAAAATAATGAGACTGAGTTTAATCATCATGACAATCAGAAATGCAGAAATACACCTTTTAGTGTTACTCATGAAATAGTAGGTTCAGGTATGTGACAAAGTTTTTATGTTTTTTACAAAATATTTTTATAAACATGACTTATTCTGGACATTGTCCATTTTCCTGGTTGTGTCCAAATGTGTTCCAGAATCTGGATCTGCTTTTGTCTTCAGGTATCGAGTTGGTCTTAATAAAAGGGCCCATCTGAGTAATAACCTTACCTCTCTCCCATTTTTATACTTGAAGACAGAAACATCCAGTTTACAAAACGTGTTTGAAACAGACCAAGATTATGGATAATGCCCAGAATAATAGATGTTTATTGTAACAAACCATTATCAGAAACCTGTATATTTAGCTAAAATTATTTTCCTCCAGCTTTCACAGATTGAACCATCTGGCCTGTTCCAATGCAAAACAAATTTTGTATATTTATTTTAATAAAATCTTTATTTACCTACTTCTGATAAGAATAATATGATAATATAATAATTGTGTGCCAGGAAAACAGTTTGTTGACTGCATTTCTGTTACTGAAGCTGATGATTAGTTATGTATTCTTGAAGTTTGGGTTGCTTTTACATCAGAAAAGTGGAAGAATGGGAACAGATTTAATCTGAAGAAAATGTTTTAATTATAAATATTGAGTTTATACTGTGTGCTATTTCTAATCAAATATTAATGGACAATTTAACTTTAGCTTAGAATTAATTTATCTCATAAGCTAAATTAATTTTATCATATTAATTAGTTTCTTTTCCAGTATATCAAATTGGATGGTAGACAGAATTAATCAAAGTATTAATTCTGGTGCTGGTAATCAAGAGTACATTATTATTTGTCATCTTTCAAGTAAGTGTTCCTTTACATTAATATTTGTTAAGTCGTGCCATGCTGCTTATGGTAATATTTACTGTATCTTGTCTCTGAAATGAAAGTGTATGGGTATGTTCAATAGTCATAGTATTATCACAATGCAAATTTTGAAAGGGAGAAGCCAGGTAATGATTTATGCAGTAAATTATCATTCTTACAAGAGATGGATGAGCTTCAGCACCAAATGTGTGCTGTGTTCCATTTTATATTGCTCTACTCTATACCTCATATCATGTAATAGTTTAACCTGGATTTCCTCCTTTGACAGCTTGAGAGCCTGTAATGAACTTATATGCACAACTATTTCAATTGCACTGCCATTATTTGAAAGATGTTTAATTTAATTTCAGTATCATTTATTATAAAATTACAATTTTTGTGAGAATGGTGTGTGGCTTTATAGAACCTGTGTGAATGTTCCAAGTGACAAAAAACAAAGGAATGTTGTCAATTTCTGGATTTTTTAAATATCCCTTTAACTCCATAGAGCAGAGTCTCTGCTGAGAAGCTAACAGTTGCTCAGCCAGTCAAGAAATCTCCCATTTTTATGGCACTTGGAAGGTTCATTACTATGTTCAGATGATCCTATCATGAGAATAAAGCAACCCTACGACCCCCTCCTCAAATTTGGTGTTAAATAATCCCTTTATTAATATTAATTGCACATTTTTGGAACAGTGTTGAAAATAAAGGAGAAAGCCAGAGACAGATTTGATCACATTAATTTTTACTGCCTCAGCTGGCTACAAGGAGCAGAGGGAATGTATGAAGCAGTGGCACAGCACATTGACTTTTGGGACATACAATCTGATCATTTCCTTCCCCTGCCATAAAAATCTTCACACACATTTTGCACTACAAGAACGTGATTGGCTAGTACTTAGATTACTCTCGATGATCATGTAAAGGTGACCATGGAGTTACATAGCTAGCAAAAGGGCAGAACACTAGAAGATAGCAGCTATGCCTATAGCTGATTTTACAGTATGTAAAAACAAGCAAAATACAGTGTGTTTAGACTATACATGTAATGCTGTCATTTTACACAACTGATGTCAGTAGTACAATAAAATGCTACATTTCCTCCAGTGACAGAACAGTTTTTGTTCATAGATTTTGTAGTTCAGCAACCAGACTTATGGTTATTGATTGAATGATTGTTTTCTTAATTTCTTCAGCTGTGTTTGATATATTCTGATAAACTTCCTCTTTCAGGCACCCACAGTTACATGAACTAAAATCTGTGTGGAAAGTGGCTACAGACTTGTTATGACTATCCATCCTACTTTCAAATACCCTGTGCTGTATATCTAAAATTATGATACATATCAGATATATTTCAAAATTCTCCAGAAATTGTAAGTAAGGGATTCCACTATATCTTGAAATCCTGGTACACACAAGCATAAAAGAAAGTATAGTTTTCTACCACATGTTGAAATCCAGTTTTTTGAAGATTTTATTGCCAAAGATGAATCCATAAGTGTACAGTCCACTATTACAACACCAGTATAAATTATTACACCACACAGTAACAATATTACTTGTTCTTATTAACAAACTTCTGTGGCAAATTTTTAGATTCAGCAAGTTGTAAGGAAGGACCAGAGATTTGTACTGATAATTTTCAGGTTTAACAAATTGTTTAAAATGGACTTGGCCATAGAAGTGATTTTTTAAAATACATTGCCACAATGGTTTATGGAAATTTTTCATTGAAAGATAATATGATAAAAGGGATAAGTAATACACTTCATGCAGTGTGAAAAACTGGCTTGTTACCCAGTCTGATTACAGTGAAAAAATTTGTCTAGTAGAGAAAATTCTTGTCTCAGTTCTCAAAGTTTTTTCACATTTTTCATCAAATATCCCGTTTTGAACTGAGAGTAGTTCTAGCATATGTGTAAATATAAGCTACAATTCAAAAAAATTTATATCGAGGGCACGAAGTCAGAAGGGCGCATCAACATATTAGCATAAATGAAGATAAAGTAGACCACTGATTGTCCATAGTAATTGTGGGAAGCAGGAGTCCAAATAATAGAACACAGTTAATGCAAATTATATTTTATTAGAATTATCATCTATATAAGTAAAATAAGATCTTATACATATCTGTGCACAGAAACACATGTATTCACATTGTGAAACACAAAAAAGACTAAAAATTCCTTCTTAATGTAATTTTATCAGGAAGTTATAATTTTTGTGTTGGTCTAATTTTTATTATACTTACATACCCACAGTTTTTAAGAAGGTCAACATAATGTCATCTTGATTTTCCATAAAGTAATGTATCAACAGCTGGGGAAATACAGTGTTGTGAGCAGTTAAGAAAAATATAATTACATATTACAGACAGTCTAAGACCACAGATAATCCAATACATGGATAATTCGGTCCCAGATAATCAGCACTCTACTGTAGTTTATATAACACTGTACAGTAGTGAGTTGTATGTCATGCCAGAAGGGTATAATGCTGATGCTGCTCTACAGAGAGATACAGACAGTTAACATCTGGGTGTATTAAGAGTAATAAGGTACATTTGTCAAACCAAATGAGAATAAGAATTTAGTCTCCTGTAAATCAGTCATTTTGTTGATATGCCTTTCTGGCATGATGCTCTCAGTATTACAACAGAGTGAATTACAAAGTTTTATTTTTTTACCAAAGAAGTGCAAATACTTGCTTTTATAATAAAAGAAAATATTTGAAATTCCATTCACTTAATTCTGTCTCATGTGTGCAGTAATGATCTTCACAGCACCATAGTTTCATATAATATACAGATTAATTTCCCATGATCATATTTTATAATGAAAGAGTAATGGTAAAATACTTGTTTTCTCTAAATTATTTGATAGGTTTATACCATTTTGGAACCTTATTATTGGGAGCTCCCACTTATCTCTGTGGAAGTTGCAAAATATACTTGGTCTACTGTCTATATTCATTGCTCATTCAGTTTTTGGCCTAACTTCTCATGAATTTTCTTCCAGGTGTCAAATTCTTCCACAACATTTGGACTGTGATAGAGCAGGAGAGCTAACTGCATGCACTCCTGGCTCAATTCCCCTAACCAAAAAGAAAACAATCAAAAATAATTCCATTACACAAACTCAAATACTGCCCACACCAAGTGATCAGAATTCATGGTATAGTGGAATCATTATTTAATATTCATCCACTTAAATGATTTTCTGCCACTTTAGATTAATTTTCTTTAGTTCCAGACAAGAAGATCTAATTTTACTAAGCAGAATTTCACTACACTAAGAAATGAGGGATGATATGTCAACATTTTAAATTAAATCTCACCTGGATCGGTAAGCTGCAAGTGTCGCAGCACTGGGTGAAGTAAGCTGAGTGAGTATTGCTCCTTGCAAGTATGTTTTAGAACCAGAAGTCAGAGTATCCTTGGTTCCAAAATGTACCATAGCACTTGGTACACACCCAGCATCAAAAAGTCTCATTTCAGGCGTTAGAATATTTTTGGGAGGAGTGGTATCTACAAGATTTAGAAAGAATACACAACTACTAGAAGAGATTAGTTTTACAGAATCTATTATGGAGAAAATCATCTCAGTTCATAGACTCATAATTAAGTAATCAGTTAATGCTTCAGTTTGGTGCATTCTGCTGAATTTGGACAAGACAAGGATCTGTTTCTTGTATTTGGACATACTGCATTGCATACATAAGCCTAATACAGTCAGTAATGTTAGATCAAACCATTCTACATTGATACAAGTTGCACAGGGTGTTACTTATCCCATAAATAATTCAGATCAAATCCATGAGCCCATATTCTTTGAGACTATTTCCAACAAACAGATGGTCATTTACAAGCTCTGTTCTTTCACATCCAAGACAGTGTAACATATGTTCAGGAAAAGCTAGTTTAACAACAATAAATCTAAAAGGCCAAATTTAGAATTTCAACATGAAATGTATTTTTAAAGAAATGCAGAGCTCATTAAATTATTTTAAAAAGTACTCACAAAGATGGAATTCAGTCTTCGGGTCTTCCAGATGGCTTCTAACAAAATCCATGACAGTTGAAATAGTTTCAAGAGGCAAAAATATCCCCTGGAGAACTGTACGGTCAGGAAAATGGATTCGGATTACAGCTCGACGGTACTGATTCAACAGAGACAGCACTCGCTTAGACTCTTCTAGACTTCTCTGTGCACTTGTAACAAGTGATGTCTCTTCCATTTCTTCTCTGTTAATAAAGTAATGTATATACCATTAAAATATATCATATTCACAATACTGTATGTGATTAATTGTATGGTTAAGAAGTAGGACATTATAACAAAGACGAATTAAAAACTTACAGGAGGAAAAGGATGATGTGTTAAGTAACCTTAATATGTTAAAAACCAATATATTTGATGTTCTTTATATCATCACAAAGTTCTCATGAAATTCCCCCTCACCTTTTAACTGTATTTTACAAGGATGATTCAGATGGGATAATATTCCTGAAATGATGTATATAGTGACACAGTTTTAACAGATTTCTCAAGCTGTCTGAGTTCAAGTCTAGCCAGATCAGAACTTTAAGGATTAATGCTTTGCAGAATCTGTGCTATTTTCAACCATACCTTTTTCATACATGTCAGAAAATTTGAAATGGATGAACTGTTAATGGGAAGTCTTAACATTTTGATTTTAAGAAACATTCTTCAAAAGTCTTGCCAAATTGGAGCACAACTTTTCATAACTTCATACTTCCAATGGCCAATTATATTTCATGAATGTTCTTCTTTACTATTATGTTCCTGAACTCTCACCTCCTCCTCTTCAAGTCACTGAGAAGGGACCGTGCATCTTCCACTGTCAGTTCAAAGAAATCATCGGGCAAATCTTCATAAGGTACAGTTTGGGCCACTTCAAGACTGAAAGCAATGGCATTTCTTTCTCCTAACTATAAAGAAAATCACAAACAGTTAATTCTTTTGATTTGAAAGTTACAAAGGGGAATCACACACACACATATTCTATAAGAACCTAGTCAGAAATTCTCTCTTCATGAGTAGTTTATGTCACTCATGAAGTATGCATGACATGAAGATGGCTGTCTTCTGGATTGTTGCTCTGTGTAGTAAACATCTACCAGACTACACAGCACTACAACTCAGAAGACAGCCATCTTCAAACTCACCGCTGTGAAAACCTCAAATCCTACATATGCATGAAATATTCATGTTTTCTGACAATATACCCAATTTTCCTTGATAAGACGGGTAATGCCCTCATTCCTAACTTTCCAATTTGTATAACGAATTTAGTGGTTTTAAAACTTGAAGGCAGCTAAATATGTTGCTGGATCCTATCCTGAGCCATGTCAATTAAAACACATCACCAAAATGCATTCCTTTAACAGCCAATTTAATATCCTCTCCCATGCACAGTGGTGACTTTCTAAGTGTCGTCGCAAAATTCTGTAGTCTATTCTTAGTCTTCCCATCAGAGTCTATGATAGCAAAGTTCTTCTCTTTGCAATTTCCCACACAGTTCAATTCTTTTAACAGCTTACCAGTATTACTTCATTAGGCTCCTTGTGATCTGATAATGACAGAGTTGCGTCAGAACTAACTGCTGAAGTTTCCATTGATAAATCATTACTTTCTATTCCTTCTTTCTGATTTTCCAACACCATCTGCATAGAATATGAAGAGATGCTTCCCGCTGATATTTCCATAGAAATGTTTTGATTTACATTTTCAGCTGTTGATTGTATTACAGACATAGATGCAACTGTAGGTGATTCTGTTAGACCACTACTTGAACTATCTATAGTTCCTGCTGCTGAACTGCACCCTGGGTCTAATAGAGAAGTTTTAATAATGGGAGACTGTTCTGGAGATGTGTTTGATTCAGATGCATTTTGTGGTGGAAAATTTGCTACAGATCGTTGAGGCAGAGGTCCAGAGACATTTGCCTGATGATGTAATTCTTCTGGTGTACGATGAAGAAACCTGTAACAAATTAGATTAGAATACATAACTTTGACAAGTGTGGAACATCCCCATATTTGGGTGACTAAATAATTTGTGACATGTGAAACTGATGAAAGTGGGAATAGTTTCATTGGACATTAAATGTCATATACCTATACAGAAGTTACATGGTAACTCTGAGGCATTTATTTACAAATTAATACTGGTTACCATGAACAATGATAGCTCAGTCAGTAGTTCTATTCTCAGAGGCAAGAATTTTTCTTTCCACTGCCACATACAGACTGGCTACAAGGCCTACTATCTCCTCTCCAATGAGAACAGGGGTTCTTTCACCAGAAGTAAAGGTGCTGAAACATCGAGCTTTACCTGCACTCTCCCATATGCTTTCATTGTATGTTTACATAAGCACAGGATCAACTTACCTTCTTTACCTGACAGGTTACCAACAATCTCAAAACTAAAACATATCTTTGAAAAAGGATATAAGTCATTACCTAAGCATGGCTCTACCTCCTGTGAGCCCAAGACTACGAAGAGTTGTCTCTTCAAGAGCTTTCATACCAAATATTTCTTTGCGCATATATATAATGACTGGGTTTGAGTTAGGATCAGCTTCTTCTGAACATAACTTATTTATCACATCCCATAATGAATCTGAAAGTACATAACAATAACTTCTGATATGAAGTAACATACACCATTTTTGAGGAAGGGTCACTGATCCCCAATATAGTGGAAATTTTAGATAAAACAAATATCAAGCCTTCTAGCACATACATCTTCTAAACTCCATCTCCCATGGGAACGGTCCAGTTGGTAATGCCGAAACCTCACCTGAAATTTTGCTCGTCAACAGAGCCCATCTAGTAATGATTGTACGCAAAATTTCTGCTGCTGATATGCTGTGCAAGGGTGCGAAAAAATTGCTCAAAGTTTGAATGTTCAGTTAAAATTCGTGCCACTTCAGGACATTTTTCCCAGAGTTCTGACCTTCCAGTGTTCTCTCATTTGTCTTAAGAATAATTATGCCAGGTTTCTTCTTTCTGAGCCACAAGCGAATGAGTAAAAAAACATGTGAACCCTCAATTTCGAGTTTACGTATGACCAGTAGATTTTGCAGTATTTACTAAGGGGAAATACGACAATTTCTTACAAATTCATCTTCTGGAACTCAGGTTAGTTTTCGGGTTTGTGACCTTGGTTATCAGATCCTTTCCCAGGGGCAAACTAAATTTGCCTTAGCATCCGAACAACAAAAAACATCTTTGCCGGAAATCGAATGAAGGAAACATTTTTCTCTCACCCAGGGATGGATTCAACAGCGTCCGGGCAAGTATACTAAAACCGGACATTATTTCCAAATAAGGGCAAATGAAATTGTAAAATTTTCTTCATGCCTCTTTTCATTACTTTTAAATTTATTTCCTTCTTATAGAGAAAATATTTAATATTAATTTATGCTTTTTACAGTTAGGATGGAATGTAACCAAATTATATCTTTGAGTAATTATCTTTGTATTATTTTTAACTAAAAAGAATGTGTAAATATAGAACAACAATGGTCAGCTTTTATATGAACACCTGTGTGTACAACAATGTAATAAGAAGTATTGGAATTTCTAAACCACACCTGCAACAATATTGACTGAGCATGCCTTAAGGCTCATTTCTTATGCATGCAGTATAATAGACTGAATAAACTGTATTGCACTCCAGTCATTTACTAATTGTTACGTCATAGTTTCCTTTGGCATTGTCACATTAACAATCCGCTTTCGTCAGTGTGGAAAGAGCTGGGCTGTGAATCACTTGTATGAGAAGTGTGTTGTAGACGAGATACTTTTGTGCTTTTAAAAGTCTTTCGCAATAACCAAAGTACTTATCTTCTGTGAATTACTAAGAAATTCTTGACACTGTCCTTCACTGTCTCCATTTTATTTTGCCGGTGGACATCAAGGTCTCTTCCTTTTGATGAAAGAGTGAGGTAAGATCATCCTAGTTATTGTTATTATTGCGTATAACATTTGCAGGTTTTCATTTACATTTGTGAACTCTTGGAAGAGAATTATGCTTGTCTTCTTTCTAACACAAATTCAATTTTTTATTCCATTGACTTCTGTTTGTTTACAATAACAATAATTGTTACATAATATTTTTTGTAGGCATTGTTATATTAGTATTATATATATTGATGTCAACAATCAGAAAGAACAGCTATGAATAGCTTGTGGAAGTAGTGCGTGGTAGATGAGATACTTTTGTGCTGTTAAAAACCTTTCAGAATAACCCAAGTGCTTATCTTATATAATAATCTACTATAAAAATTTGCGATTCCTCGTTGTCGTCCACAAAATGACGTCATCAACAATGTCAACTTATGTTTGTTTATACTCGGCATTGTTGTGTTCCACAACAATGCCGAGTACAACACAACAATCTATCTTCTTCTCTTCTACTATAAAAATTTGTGATTCCCCGTTGTCGTCAACCAATTTGTCGTCAAAGAATGACGTCATCAACAATGCCAACTATAAACTAAGTCGGCATTGTTGTGTTCCACAACAATGCCGAGTTTTTCTCCGAGGAGCTCCGAAAGGAGCGTCCTGCCCTAGTTATTAAGAAATTTGTGATACAGTCCTCCACTTCATTTTATTTTTGATTAAATTGTTTATTGCCAGTGGCGTGAATTTTAAATATACATTCCAATTTTGAGCAATATTTTTGCACCCTTGTGCAGCGTATCAGCAGCTGAAATTTTGTGGACAATCATTACTAGATGGGCTCTGTAGATAAGCAAAATTTCAGGTGAGGTTTCAATATGACCAACCAGACCATTTCCTTGTCAGACTTATTCTCAGATGAAATTTCAACATGCTATAATGATGGATCCATTTTATCACATTTTTAAATCTTCCATTTCCTGAAAAAAAGCTACTTCTTATTCAAATATCAGTATTACTGCCAGTTCCCAAGAGTTCCGCACATCAAAAAAGACTGAAATGAGGTAAAATGTTTTAGAATATAAATTTCCCAAAACTTAAAGTGAAATATTAATAGAGAATTAACTGTTTGGCTAACAAAACTGAACACCTGGAAGCAACTGTCATAAAGCCATAACAAATATAAACAGAAAATAATAGCCAGTATATTCAGGTTCTTCATTTCTGTATACCTAGATGTATTTACCAACTTGCACATGTGCTTAGACAGCAATAATTTGAAAGAAATTTCCCCACAATAAAATACACTTCAGCATGTTAAAAATTTCTGTATATTCCTTCTTAGTATGTTCCTACCATATACTCATAAAAGAAATGGTTATGCAGACAGGTAAACATAGTGAGGAAATATCTGTTCATCTATGCATATTCGATCTACAAAACTACTGATCCATTCGATGACTTTTATAGTGATGAAAAATAAGATCCTTTACCTGTTGGGTGAAAATCACCCATGAGCCGATCACCAGTTTCCAACTGTAGACCTAGAATAACAGTCGTTTCCTGTCGTGCTTTCTGTGCTGCTGCCATCTCAAGCTGTGCATTATTAGGTAGCCCAGAAAACCGTATAACTGACGTTGTGTCGAGGACATGGTTGTGATGTCTATAAATTTTAAATTAAATACGGGTATTTTTAAAATTCAGTCTACGGAAAATTACACACCCAGAGGAATGTATTGGTCTTGCCGATTTAATGATCAATACTCACTTAATATCATACTCTTCTGGTTTGAAACCCTGTTTCCTGCATACTTCTTCCAAAACCTGCATCAGAGAAAGGTTAAGGAAGACACGACAAATGTTGAATTGTACAAATCATTAAAATATCTTATAGCTGACACTATACACACAGTCGAATTGCAGTTTTCATACCTGCAAAATAGTGGTATTTGGTGTAACTTTCACATTCTGTCTTCTACCGTTCGGAGCTAGAACAATGACACAATTAATTGCCGCCATTACACCTGACGTAACATCACACTTATTTATTTGTATTATTTGTTTACTTATTTATGCTCTTCCATATTCATATCTGAACACATAGAGAATCTTTTTATTTCTAATCCGTGATTTATGTTCGTTGTAAATTTCTATCACGGAAGACTACGTTTTAATATTTTCTGTGGTGACTCGGAACCGCAAGCACAGATTATTTCAACACCACGGTATCCCATAAAGAGCATAAGTTCGTATCACAAACAGAAAGAAAAATGGCTATGTTGGGTACGCTTAGTCATCGTTTGTGTTTATAGAGATTAATGATCTGTCTCGTGTGGAGTATGAGTAGCGTGTACATAAATAATTACATACACGTGTTTACATATTTTGAGTCCAGGTAATTATAGGAAAAGTTTGTTTTGAAACAAACAAAATGGTTTCATTTTCCCGCGTTATTAATATTTATTCGTTGAGTATTAATGATTACACGCTTACGTGATAAATGAGTTAACCAAAAATGTGTATGATTTTGAAACTGCAAGTATCTAATTGGGTAAGACGAAATAAAAGTAAACACTGACCGCAGTTCTACTGAACTGCGTAGATCCACAAGGACCAATTTCATTAACACACCAGGTCCTGTCATTAGAAATTTAGTATCTGAAAAGAGGATTAATAACATTTATATTGTGGAAAATTACAACAACAAGTGTTTATTGAAGTAAAATTTCTGATTTTTGAAAATGGAAGATTTGAATTATAAGAATTTAAATACTATGCAAATTGGAACAATTACTTGATTGTGACACCGCTACTTAACTGAATTATATGTGAAAGGTGTATGCATTTTATTGTAAGAGTATTAATTGGTTTTGTGTTTCAGCTATCTTGTCAAAATTCAAAGTTGTCATTAAATCATTGGTCAGTAAGGATGTATATCATCACAGATACCAACGTTTCTATAATTAATGTATGGTGATTCTTTTTCAGACAATATATAACTCAAGATGGCAGAAGATAATTACCTTCCAGCTAGTCTCGAGAAATTAGAGATTGATTCACACAGGTAATGCCAATAGTAAACGTGCTGTATGTTGTGCCTGTGCAAAAATCAAATCAAATCCTTGACAAATTTGGGGGGGGGAGGGGATTTTGAGTGTTTTTATTCCAGAAAGTTCTATTATGCATGCAGATTGGATAAAAAACCTGAGGTTTTTTATCCAATCTACATGCATTATAGATGCTGTCTTATGTAGGAAGTTAGGTATTAGATCACAGTTGCTGTACTAAGGATGTAACTTTAATATTATTATAAAATGCTGAACATTCTGAGTGTGTGTGCATATTTCTGTTTTATATGGCGGGTGAAACAGAGGTCAAGGCTTCTCTCTCTATTTCTTCATTTTTAATTCTGCCTCCAACATATTAAGTCAGACCAACAGCTTCTTGTTAATGAATATTATAATTTCCAGCATTCATGTAGATAGAATGACTAGACGATCATGGGACAAGGGAGTATGCTGGAAGGAGAAGCATGATGGCTTAAGGCACGTGAGGAGACAATTGATCCATGGGACTTCTCTCTGTGGTCTTCATGTAAAAAATTGTGTGAGAGTAAATACAATAAAATGAAGGTCACGTGTCAAAACAGTTGTAAGGCAATGGGTAATATATGAATTGTTTGGTTTTTGCAGGGAAACGTACAACTTTAAGCATGTAAACCCATTCAGTCGGGAAGGTGGTCGTACCTGTAAAAAGGTGTCAAATCCTATTGATGAAACGTTTGGAAAACTCAGTTTTTCTGGAGAGGAATGTACTAGTACATCATGCCATTGTAATGTTCAGTTCTTGGCCGTTTCATCTGCAGCACACCATGATAGTCTGTGTGATGACTGGTCCAATTGCAAACGGGTACTTCATGTTCATCCTACAGTTACCTTCAAGAGGAACCTTGTACGAAAGAGCAAGCTGGGTGTTGTTTGTGCTGTGAGAAAGACAGATAAGAGTAATAAAATTTTGAAGGAACCTGTTTTGAAACTTGTAAATAGGTCACTGCAGAATATGTTGCCACTCAACAAAATTGATGTTAGAACGATCCCTATATCAAAATTGGCTACTGATAAGGCTGTGCAAGAAAGTGTCACTGTTCCATTGCATAATTCTGTAAGCAGTTCTAAATCGCAAGAGTTGTTTGGTCACAGCATTATTTCACACCAAGATTTTAGGTCTCTCCTTTCATTGTCAACAAAAGTTTCTTCCACAGACAGAAGCCAGAGTTACAGTACCCCTAGCTTTCATCACATGCGTGCAAATTGTAGATCCAAACAGATGTGTATGGGAGAGCCAAAAGTAGGGAAGAAAATGTCTTCAGGGGAGAACACGTGTGTTGGCTGTGTGATGAAGAAGCTGGCAGCAACTGGGCTTACACACAACAATGGTAACAACTCAGGTGGTCAGTCATGCTCACAGCAAGCCAGGATGACTGTTTCTGGTTCTTGTGATGATGTTACAATTGATGAATTAGCCAGCTACTTTGATGTCTTTGTTCATATCCCTAAAAAAATGTCCCACATGGCTGAGATGATGTATATTTAGGAGCATGGTCAGTCAGTAATTTCTCCTTCTTAAGTAAAATTTTGACTAGTTTTTCATATGTTAACTTCGTGTTTATAAACAAAAATTAAGTACTATTTTGTATGTCAGTTTTTCTAAATACAGTTTAGGTGTCTAATTTCCCAGCCAAACAGTACAATTGTAGCTGCCATGAAAGCTTTCACTATTGCTTTTGTAATACAACACATTGAGGCTGAAGAAATTACTGTTATTACATAGACGCTCCAGAGAACAGAATGCATGGCAGGAAAATACGTGAAGAGACTACAGTAATATTGTACAAAGACTGCATTGCATTACACAGTAAAAGCTAGGTATGTTTCTGCTGGCGATTTCAATTACCAGTATAGGCATATCTCCATATTCACATGGAAAAATCACCAGTAGTGAAAATGAATAAGATCATTGGCTGTGCTAATGAACTGTATACTTACACATAATGCAGTACTTTAAATTAAAACATAACAGCAGTTGAACAGAGTTCATGGCTATGAGCATATTGTTAAAAGTACTAAAAAGAATCCCCCTCACAGAGTGTGCATACAGGTGACTTGTTTGATGCAAGGCAGGGTTTACTCAGTAATGCTGTTATTGGCAACTGCTTTCTTTTCTTACTCATTTTCTGTGTTTCTGAATAAGGCTACATAGCAATATCAAACTCATGTTTATTCCCAGACTTCTTTCCAGGAGTGGGCCATAAACATTAAAAAGCACTATGGGTAAATTTTATAAGAAAATTCTTGATAATGTATTGGTAGCTTGGCCACAAATGGTGACTATAATTTGTAATTAATAATTTGTCTTCGTAAAACTGCCATTTTAAAATACATGCAGTGTGTACACAATGCGAAGTCAGATGGAGTATATATTTATGTATGTTTGTTATTTCAAACACTGTTTTTGTAAGATAGCTGGTTTATATACTACCTTTTGTGAGGTCACTCATGTTTTTTTTTCTGGCTGTACTTTATTTATTACTTAATACCTTCTGTTTCTTTATCTGAACTTACAATGAACAATAAGGTAAGTTTAAGGTTTTCATGCGTCATGTTTGTGTTTTGGATTAAAATATATAATAAAATACAGGTCAATACACAAAACTATATTTGGGTGTTAAAATTTAAATGTTAAAATTTAAAATTTTAAATTAGCGCTATTCATCACTATAAGCGCGCAAATGTAACATCCTTTTAGTGATGAATAGCGCTAATTTAAAATTTAAAATTTTAACATTTAAATTTTAACACCCAAATATAGTTTTGTGTATTGACCTGTATTTTATTATATATTTTAATAAGGTAAGTGCTTATAAGTTATTGGTGAAGCCTCTGGGGCATTTGAATTTATAAACTGATATTGCTGATGTGCAGGTAGAATAACTGTTTATAATTGACTGCACTTTCTGAAAGGGAAGTATGAACAAGTTTTATTATGGTTTGGATGTAGGTTAAGGATGCCTGGCAACCCATAAAAATATATGATTGTCCCCTAACTTTAATGTCATATTCTGGTGCCCCAGAACAGTCTATCAGGATGCCCAGTTTTTTCCTATGTTAGAGCTTCCTTGATGCAATGACTTGAACAATACAATGTAAATAATTCTCCAAAATAAAATGTAACTTTTTTCTTTTCCTGTTTTATTTTTTCAAAACTCTACTACACTAACAAACATGTACCCTGCAACCATTGTACTGAGTTTAGTGCCAAGTGGCTATCACCTTGTATTTCAAAGGTCCCAGGCCCAAATCTCTACCTGGAGACCTTTTCTGACTCAGGGTTCTTGTCCCCTTCCTGAATCCCTTCATTGCTTCTTAAATGATCTGATGCTACATAGTCTGCTCTACTGGAAGTGTTGTTAAATAAATATACCTATTCTTACCTCATAAACTTATCTTCACTGTTTTTAGTATGGTATGTAATCTGGTAACATCAGGACTGAGGTACTTTGTGGTTTTAGCTCTTTAATCAACAAATGTGTCTTATAGTCATGCTGGAGGATACATTTTACTTTAATGATGAATTCCATCCACTATGGGGACAGTTTGCTACTGCAGTATAACTTGATTAAAATGGACCCCATCTTATACCACCTATGTTAACATGTTGCTGGATTTTAAAATATTTACATATAATTATGCTGTGTAATTTGGGCGTTTCAGTAACTCGGACTGTATTAATTCAAACTAGTGTTCTTTTATTATATTGCCATGTATTTATTCTCCACCTGTCTGTGGGTTGTAACCAGAGGAACACACTAACTCTGTGGATAATGTTCTTGCATAGCTGGCAGATGGTTGAGAAATTCCCTAATGTGTTCACAAGATCATATATTTAAATAGTGTATGAAAATGGATGTACTTTAAGATGATTTTCTGATGCACAACAAAACTTTGTGAAAATTTCTGAGTTTCAGAATAACTATTGCAGACTCCGAATAACAAATAAGTTGTATTTATCACTTTTAACTACTGTGGTGTACAATATTAAAACAGGATCCATATGACATTTCAATTTTGGGTTAGATGTTTTGAAAAGTAACCAAATGCTGCCAGTTGTCATCCAGAAAACTCATTTCTGCATCAATGAATATAGGAAAGTTTTTATGGTTTTCTGCAAAAGATGGTCTTTGTTGTATGATGACAATGATGATAACTGGATTTGTACAAGTATGGTTTTCAGGGATGAGAGACGTAGAATGTTGAAGATTATCCAGTGTTTTGACATCTTCGACATTCAATGCAGATTAACCTAAAAAGTCAACATATGAGAATGGCATGTAATCAAGTGTTTTGGAAACTGCCTTCATCATCAACTCTAATGATTTATTCTGCCTGCACATGAACCATATGAGATGTGGATTTTTCATTTTGCCGTATTTATGGTGAATATTTTTAGGGGATTTTGGTAGGCCTTACAGAGGACAGACTGTAGATGGCAAGTGGAAGTTGCACATTGAAGAAAAGTGGTGAAGTTTGGTAGAAGTTAACCGACATTTTAGAGGTTCTTGCTGCCTTGATAATCGTGCTGATGGAAGCAGCAAGCATATTTGAAAAGTCGCCAGGCTGCGCGGTGTAACAAATCAGAAAACAGCCATTTTTATATACTTGCCGCTGTATGTTGTCTGTGGCCGGAAGAAACCTAAAGTCCACTGCTATGATCTCTGAAACAGTTTCGCTGCTCAATGTCAAATTGCATGAATATTTCCAGGTGTGAACAAAACGATTTACGATTCTGATATGATATTTTGTAATTTCCAACTAATTTACTTGTTTAGGACAGCTATGTCGTTATGGACAATTTTGTGGACAGAAGAAAGAACCAATTATTATCAACCACTTTAAGAACCAGTTTTAAATTATTTTAGACGCTGCGGAATTGATACAATGCTCGGATTGGTGTTCTCTATTTTCGGCTACGTTCTGGCGGGCAAATTGTGTAAGGTTATTGTTTTATAATAACGTGGGTTAAAAATGGTGTGCTTGAAGTCTGTGGAAGTTTTTCGTTTTATGTCTCCAATTGGGGAAATGTTTATGAAAATATGTTCACAAGGATTACATAGCTTGTCTCAATGTGATTACATATGTGACATAAATTTCAATCCACAGACAGGGTAAGCATAAGCTAATTAATGTGAATTCCCATTGAGTTGTGTCAATACATTCACTGTATCGGTCATTAATTATAGCACACGTAACGTTAATGAATGGTTAAGTAAGTGTTTTCATATTGATGTACTGTGCTTTGTCATAGTTGTATATGTGGTTAATTATACACCCACCCAGAGAATTAAAGAAGTATTTGCAACTTGTAGGAATTGCAGTGATAATTGAGTATAAATCTCAAATCCTAATTTACGTGTGTATCAGTAGTAAAGTATACACACCAAATTAGTCTTCACACAGCTTTTGTGTGTGGATGGATAACTGGAATGATTTGTATGTATAGCTGGGGGACTAATGAATAACAAAATGTAACTAACTTTTAGTGAAGAACAATCATTACTTTTCAAGTTTTTTGTTGAATACACCATTCTATTTTGGTTATGAAAAGACAGTTTTAAGTATTTATCTTTCAAGTGTATCTTGACATTGTATGAAGCTATTCAATCCTATTTATATAATGTAATTGTCTGTTTTAGACAAGGTGTATTTCTGACTGAAAAGAAATCTGAGAATAATGAAGTGCAGAAGCATGTTGAAGCTTGCATTAATTGGTTAAATGTCTACTTCAGTGATGTAGGAAGCATTACTTGTGTACACATGCCTGACATATGTGTTGCTACAGAAATGGGTATGTTAATTTTTTTAGTATTAGTGACATTTACATTGATTCAAACTTTTCTTTTTAGGACTTTTTATGATTTAGGCATTTTATGTACTCTAAATTGACATGTTTTGCCCTTCCACCTGTTCTTCCATTCATCTCCTGAATGACTTTATGAAATTTGGTATGAGTGACCTTGATCAAGAAAATCTGACTTCATCTAATTCTGATTATTTGTTGTTTACTGCAGGTTCGTTTCAAGAGAGAGTTTGGGTTGCTTTAGCAAAGAATATTGGACCTGGGCAGATAGTGTCATATGGAGAACTGGCCAAGATGGTGAACAGTCCAGGTTTGTTATTTTGTTTATTAAGCTCTCTTAGCTAAAATGTGGTAGAAAATCGAGAGCATCTGATGGTATAATTATTCAAAGCTGTAGCTGGTGAAGCTAATTTTTATTTAACAAATAGGATCTGTCTGCTTATGGACGAAGAAAATTATTAGGAAAATGAGACTGATAATGAATTTCAATTTAAATTAGGATAAAATGGTCTCTCTTTAAGCTTATTATGTTCAGTATGTCCATCTATATGTCCTCATGAAATAGCACCTCTCAGAATCAGTGGATGTTGATTAAATTAAGTTCAAATGACTTAATATGTCCTTTTCAGGAGCTTCACAGGCAGTTGGCAGTGCAATGGCAGCAAATCCACTGCAGATTTTGGTCCCTTGTCACCGGGTCATTCGTAGTGACGGTTCAGTGGGGCAGTATTCCAGAGGTAGAAAGAACAGTGTGAAGAATTGGTTGCTTGAACATGAGGGATTGAAAATTGTTAATAAGAAAGTTATAGCATTAAAGAGAAATTAAGTCTGCTGTTTTTCTATGCTTTATGTGCTTTTGTTGCTCCAGTATTAGCAGGAGGAAAATGTAGTAATTTTGTGTTCTCAAAATGAATGATAAATAACCAGGTCTCCTTGTGTAGATATTCAGTTTGCATTGAAATTTGGCAGTGCCATTAATGTTCTAGGGAGAGTAGTGGTGGTGAAACAATATCATTCATGATATGTGTGATTCAAGTATAAAATAGACTGATATACCACACACAGCTATGTTTTTATTGTTACACCAGAGACAGACAAGACAGCAGAAATGTTACAGAGTTGCAGGTAAGATTTATAATTTAAAATGTGTCATGTTTTTGTTTTCCTCAAAGTTTCCCAGTTTGTCCTTTGAACAAGTTTAACTGCATATAAACTCACCTCAGTTAACAGCACTGGAAGTGCAGTATATCAAATGGGATAATTGTTTGAAACACATTTTGCATAAGAATTTATAATTTTCTCTACAACTTGAAATGTATATTCTTATATAATGTATATGTTTAATGTAATTATATAAGATATTGTAGGTGCGTCATATATTAAATATATCACTTATATTTTAATACTATTTGTAATTATATAAATTTGAGAGGAATTCAAATTCTTTTCTGTATGAAGATTTTATTGTTTATTTTGAAATAATAATGTCATATAATGATCATAATTGCATATAACACACAAATAGTTCAATGTACATACTCAGTTCTGTCTTTAAAGAACTTCGTCATAACATAAGAACAGTAGAATCATAACAGTTCACATAAAAAAATAAACCCAACTGTTCTAAAGATGTGATATAATCAGATGACATCTGAATGTGTGTGATATATACATCTTCATGTGCACCAAATTTATTAATGTGTTAAATGGAAATATTGTATTAAATAGAAATTTTAAACTTGAATTATGGGTTTTTCTTAAAAATGTAATACTGAAGTATAACTGTCATAATATTAAACAATAAATCACAACTGGAAAATATTGAGGTCAATAAACTGGAATGCAAGCAGCTGCTTCTGAAGGGTCTGCCACAGTGCAGGAAAGCAAGGATATAAGAGGGCGAGGACGATCTGATGAACGTAATACCAAGATCCTAGCAGCACAGCGCTCAAGACAGAGTTTCCATTTAAGATGTGTCTTCATGTCAAGAGGCATGGACATGAACTCATTAACCTGAAAAGAAACAGATTCTTGTTAAGACAAGAGTGAAATTATAGTATATATTTGAATAACAGCCTTTAATGTTTTGGATGAACATTGGAAATTGCCTACAAATCCATGTGGCATCACAGCCCAGAAGAGTATGATTGACATCTTCATGCCATGAGAAACTCAGATCTGAAATAGTCTCTGAACTTCTAACGTAAAAGGCAGATATGTTATACTGAGTTGTGCAGTGTAGTGGATCAGTTCGTTGAAAAGCTCAGCAGTAGTTTACTGGTTAAAATGTTAACTGTGATAAACTGTAGTGTACAAATGACATTTTTTTATTTATTCAAATTATAAATGTATAATATAACATCCTTCCATATCTTCCCTTTCCTTTGTGTTCTGTCTACCTGGATGTTGCTAGTAGACCATTATAATAATAATGTATAATGTGATCAATGCGCACTGAAGTTTTGTTTCTAGGCAACCACATACACTGTAATGTTATATCCTTTCAGTTTTAGAGCCTGAATTTAATTATAGATAAGAATAAGTCAGTGTTTTTGTTTCTTCAGTACACAAACTTTCATGTGTCACTTAAGAACTTAAAAGCACCCTGTTATTTATATTTTAATCTTTATATTTTAGATACAGGAAGAAAATATATTCAGAACTATATGGTAGTAAACATTAACCAAAATTCAGTCCACTCTTAATTTATGAATTACATTAGTGATGTTAACTGTAAATTCAATAACAGTGATACCATGGTTTCTATACAGTGAGTTTTCCTTACTGTGCATCCAATAATACGTTCTGCTGCTCCTCCAGAAAGACGAACATTTTCCAGAGAACCAGTATGATCTGACAATTTGATACGAAGATCAAAAGCTACATCATATCTTGGTAATTCTGCTCCACAGCCAATAGGACACTCCAAGTTAATGCACATATCCTGTACTGGCATCTGGCACTGAGAGCTGAAAGTAAACATAACAAATGCTAGTTTTCATAGACTGCTAAAAATTGTTCAGGTATACACACCTTAACAAAAAGAAAAATTATTACCATTTTGTGATGATGAGCTGGGAGCATCCATCCAGATCATATTTTGTAAGAAGGCAGTAGAGGAGTGCAGTGAACTGTGAGTCATCACCACCTGAGTTGTCTGGACTGCCTGCTGTTGCTCGGTCCAGAACTTGCTGCACAGTCATCACATTGGTGATTGAACTTGCTGTAGCAAAAACAGAAATCAAATGCATAATATGTTCAAAATGTGATCATACCAAGGTCTCAGTTCTTCCCTCCCCTTTTTTGTTTTGTTTCAGTGAACTTACGGTCAGGAATTGAATTTGCAAGTTGGTCTAAAATAGCACTGGCTCTGAGTGGAACAGTACGAGCATACATCCTCAGAGCTGCAGCCTCAGGAGTTTCAGGATCTTCAGTCACAATAGAACGGGATCCATCTGATGCCACCATCCCACGACGAAATGCATTCCACTCCAGGCGCATATCAGCAAGGAACAGAACTGGAAAGATTTCATCATTGTTGTAATGTACAAAAGTGAGAAAATATAAAATAAATTTGTAGGCACATGGGGTGTACTGCTTGGCATGTCATGGTTACTTGAGTCAAACGACTGGTTTCTGATAGTGCTGCAATCCAAGCAGTGTTGTAATACTTTGTGTATATTTTCTGCTTGAAATATTGGGTATGCCTTTGATCATTTAACTATGCCAAATGAAATTAATTTCCATCTGAAAAAAAAAATATTCTGAAGAAATAAGAGAGGGTGACTTAACGTTACTCAAACTACAGGTTTTACTTCACTACTTGATATCACTACCCCATCTCTCTTTGGTGTTTCATTGCTTTTTAGGGCCATCAGAAAAGGAATCCCCTCCCTTTCCTTCCTGGAACAAGATTTGTTGTCTGAAACTCAGTTTTTTTGTCTTACTTTCCATTGGCCATCACTTGAAATGGGGCCGTTCCCATTAACTATGAACCTGTATTGGCAGTTGTCATTAGGTAGTCACTTTGCCCTGAAGATGGTGATTGAAAGTCTTTGAAACGTGCAATACTGCTTAGTTTTACATGGTGCCATCACTTGGAATTCAGCTCCATATTCTTATCTTCAGCTTAATATTTTGAGGACTACATTAATCTTTGCCTGTGAAAAACACTACATTTGTAACAACTTCATATAATCTGGAAAGAACAAAATTGTACCAGTTTCACGAGGCCTCCAGTTTTCAGCACGGTGTACAGTCTCTGTGTTCCATAGTGAAACACGTAATCCTGTATTAGTCTGGTCAAACACCATAACATCTCGACAGTCCATGTCACGGCCATCCTTAGTTTTGATATGTCTCATGGGTCCAATCTACAAAACGTAGAATTTCTATACAAACTTCAGATGGGGCATTATTATGGAATATATAGTAGAACTGCTACATTACAAAAATTGGAATGGAACGACAATAGATGAAATGCAAGAATGGGCAGGTAGAGACATTTGGAGACTCCTATGCAAAATTGACCCACAAGTGTTGGAAATGACTCCAGGAAGAAGAAGAAGATGTATATCAAATGATTATGATACAAAGTGATACACATTTTTACACTCCTCAAACTGATTAAATGGCACCATAATTACAATTCATCTGCATTTAAATTCACATTACTCCAAATAACACTTATACCCACATCACGAACAGCAACAAGCAGGTTGACAAATTCACCACGTATGCTGGTTCCATTACGGTATACATCAGCTAGTGTGAAGTAGTCTCCAGGTGGCTTGGTAGGAAGATGAAGGAGGTAAAGGAATTCATCACAGTATTCTGCCTCATGTGGAACTAAGGATGTCTGTTTTTCTGACAGAGTCAGTTGGAATGGGCTAGACAAAAAAACTTTGGTTTATTTTTCAAATTATTATCTTCCATGCTACAAATGAAATATTTTATCATTTTTCAAATGTTGTCTTTTGTTACCTAGATTAAAATGTAGTGAACATCTTTGTGGATAAAACCTTATCAGGAATGACTTGTCTAATTTCAGCTGAACTTAATACAAAGAGTATTGAAACCTGTCAGCTGTTTCTTATAGTAATCATCTATAAAATGAGAGCAACTTGAACGTTTTTGACATGCCACTGAAAAAATATTATAATTTTACTGACCTTGTAACAGATGGAGAAAATCTGTCTTCTTGCTCATCACAGCAACGAAGAGAAATCTTTGGCTTGGAAATTTCCACTAAAAAGCGAACCAAATCATTATTACTTTCATCATTGCTTTAAATGTAGAAATTAATTAAAAATTTACCAACTTGGCTTATGTCTAGTGTGGAAGTGAGATTTGTATCTATTATGGTAGGATCAGGAATGCTGGGCAGACATTAAAATATTTGTCAGATTGCACTTTAAGCAACATTATTTTTGTGATATGGTTTACACAGATTGTAATAGTAGTTACACAGGTGATTGCAGTGTTTCACTTTTGTTTATGTTTTCTTTAAGATGTTGGGCAAACAACAAATTCCCAAGATATGCAAAAATTTACATATTTCAAACAAAACATATTCTTTCTGTTTTGAAGCACAGTGAACCATTCTTAGGAAATAATATTGTTACTTAAGAATAAAAAATGCCAAATTGCATACTTTGAACAACCATCTTCCTCTTTATCATTACTAGACTGGGTTACTGACAGTGTGAAAATTTGGTTAAATGAATTGCAAAGTATTTTCTTCAAACAAAACATCTGTAGAAGAACTGATTGTTTCTGTACTTACCGACATGACCAACATGGAACTTGTCAGCAAGACTCTGTATATAATCCGGAGAGCCCCAGAATGTTGCATTAATTAAATCATGTGGGGAGTCACGCAATGTAAAATTCCAAACTGATCTCTCAGAACCAGATGAAGGGCCTTAAGAAATCAAAAGGTTGTATCATCATATATATATGTGTGTCTCATACTCACTTATGTATTCTGTTGCAAGAGACCAAAATAATTATCTAGCAAATACAATCCAGAGTGAAATATAATACAGTGTGAGTTTGTGGAAATGCATGACTTCAAATATTTCTTGATGATAAAATTGAGAGGTAAGTTTTCTTGGCATATTTTTATTACTGGTCTGAACATGATTATCCCCATCAATCACTACTACATGAGTTTTAATTTTCTTCTCTTCATCGATTAAGCTCATCAGCCTGTACCAGCACTCATCTTAAAAAATTAAAAATGAATTGTATACCTGACTTGCAAGTTACTTTGCGAGGGTTTTGTTTAGCGATGATCATACCAACCAACAAAACATTGGTCATATTTTCTCCTACTGCAGCAATTGGAAGCCTCTTAACACCTGCATCCATGTCTATTGATATTGTTTCGCTACACACAGGCTGCACTCTGTGAATATAAATTAAATATTTCAAACAATAAACATGTAATGCTTATCATTCATGTGACTGCAAAGTAAGAATGTTATATTTCGCATTATTAAACTAAGTATATATACTCTGCAATACTTCAGTATGAAATATCTAATTTTGGAGAACAGAAAGATATTTTCAAACGAATTGCACAGAATTTACATAAAACTGATTGGTTTACGTATGACCCTGTAGGAACTTGCGCAACAGTGATGTCAACTGTTTCTTTAGAAAGCGAGAAAGATAACTTTTTTTCTGATGCAAAGATCTAATCCTATACGTTTATTCTTCAGTAACCATGCTTTATTTAGTTGTTTACTATTTGATTGTTTGTCGTCGTTTCTGTCTGTTTTAATTTTTGTGAAAAAGAAAATAATTCTGATGAAATCATCACGAGTGATCAAAGAACAGGTGAAAGTAAAAACAAACCAAACAAGGTCGCCGAGATGTTTTTGCATTGTTGGGCCAAACATGTTTTCTAAGACGCACATGAACGGCAGAGTTTTGCTACTGATACTTCTAGATGACCACGAGCTATTTTTTTTGACGTAAATACGACTATACGGAAGGGTCATTCGGCAAAAGAGTGTAACGAAAAAGTGACAGGAAAATGTATAACGAAAATGTGTAAGATCCGTATCAACAAATCGACAACAATGGTTAGCTTGCGTGCATTGTTATGTTACCTAGGAAACGTCATCTGTTTACTCGGCATTGTTGTGTTATATTACTGCCGTCAACAATCCGCTTTCGTAACAAGATGGATGACATTGAAAATAACATCACATTACATTTCACTACTTTACATCACATTTCATTAATTTACATTACGTTACATTACATTACATTACATTACAGAGACGTAAATATAAATCAAATAGAGAGACGTATTTACGTCAATTCTCCGGAACCGTGGTTCCACTGTCAATTTTTTAATTAGAAAATACACGCATATCATAATACTATTGGCGTGTTCGCCCTGTTATTGGTTCTGAATTTAAAGTCGTTAAGGAGAAAGGTCCTCGTATAATTTGAATTTTCTTTAATTATTCTGAAAACCGTACATGGAAGTGCAAAGTTCAGACCACTGTCATAAATAGCATTTTTGAATTGTGATATTGTCCTGCATTCTGGTGTAGATACTATGAGGTAACGAATTAAGTCACTGTGGATAAGTTCGTGAAGTTGCTATGTACTATAATCTGTGACAGGTAGTGGAAATGTGCTGTGCGGTGTAGTACACGTGTGTGATCTAAAAGATTTGTTTCAGTATGTCGTACATTAATGACGATTATGTAGAGGTTTGTACATATTTGTTCTACAAGTATTTGACAAGCATGCAAAACCATTAAGAACTCATTTCCAGGCCCCTTGAAAGAGTTAAGGTTTGCCAGATATGTAGTTTACACTGGAATGGCATTTCGGTCAGCTGTTTTGTTGTAATAACTTCGCTTTTGAAGCAGTATAGTTAGTTTGAAGCATGTGCAGTATGTCTTTAATATTCCATTACTTAGTCACACTTTATGACAAAAATACACGAATACATGTGTTACCTTGATTGCAGAATTATGACACATATGCGTATAATGGCTCATTGGAGTATGATCCCCATTCAGGGGAACCTCATACTGAAACTGATTATGATCGGCAAAGCTATAATATTCCAGACATGGTGAAGAAGTTCTTAACATACTTCCGGAATTGCATCAGTGAAGGCTTGTTATTTGAAATCCAGAATTTATATGAGAGCTCGTAAGTATTTAAGATGATATATTTGGATTATACTCTACACTGGTGTATTCCAGATGGTAATTAAGAAGTGCCAGTTAATTTATAATGAAAATACAAGGTTAAAATACAAAACAAACTGTGAAAGGTAAAAAACATGTGATAAAACACAATATCATGCATTGAAAGAAGATTAAATTTTGTAAACAGTTGATTTGATAATTACTGCAGTCAGTTTTATCTTCCTTTTTATAAATTGGTATAATGATAGATTCCTTGTTCCAAATGGAATGAATAAGTTTATAGATTTCAGAGTCTAATGTTTTCATGCTGGATAAATTGTGACAAGAATAATGACATTTATTTGTAGGGTTATCTAAAATAATTTTGATATGATTGTTGTGTGAAAAAAGCTACAAAGTAAAACATTCAAAGAGAATTTATTTTATAATTCTTGAACTCTGATTAGGTTTATATGTGTATACTCCTGTTCAAAACTTGTGAATAAACATATTACCAGCATCATGTGTTTGTTGTAGGGGCACTTCCAACCCTAATTTTATGCACATTTTCTGACACTGTGAAATATAATGTTTATAGCAGTCCTTTTGGGCTGCAATTTGTATGGCTTCCATTTTCAGGTTAGAAGTTCTGCTCTGAAGATAGAGGTATCATGTTCCTTGAAAACACTGGTAACCAGCTACACAGCTGCATGGCATCACAGCCTAAGAGACTACAATTTACATTTTCACTGCCTTGAAAAGATTGTATATCCCTCAGAGAGGTTTCATGATCAAAATTCTTTGTGCATTTGTTGGTTCCCTCAACCAAGTGGTATCTCTTTTATTTGATGACAGTAGCATTACTAGCTGATGGTGTGTTATGATTGAGTTTATTAAGTGGCATCTTCCTTGTCTCAATATCTTATTCTTATTTAGGTCCAAATATTTTCTTGATCACTTTATTCTTCATGTTCTTCCCTCAAGCTTAGAGGCTGTGTGTCAGCAATATGAAGTCATCAGAAGGATATTTTGGTAATTAATGTTTTAATGTATGTTGTGTTAAGGTTTCCAAAGTTGACAGAACAGTATTTTGAGAAAAAGCCGTGGCCTGATGAAACAGATATTGCATATTTGGTGGATGAAGATTCAGTAAGTTCATATACAGATCTTAATCAGAGTTTGAATTTTCAGACATTATGATCGAGGCAAGACACTGATGTTTGTGTTTTTCCCCCCACTTTCAGGTGTTCTTAATCCTCTATAAGGAATTGTATTTCCGTCATATATATGCTCGTGTGTCTGGTTGTCCGACTATAGAACAAAGGTTCAATTCTTTCTACAATTACTGTGACTTGTTCAACTACATACTGGGTAAGTTTTGACAGTATCATTTACTGTTACAGTACTTTTTTATAATATATTTTGCAGTAAAATTTTGGTGATAACAATTACCATCTGATGTGAACCATGAGAGTAAATATCATCAAATAAATTAAGTTAGTAATGGTAGGTAATTAAAATTTGTACCATATGAAGTTAATTATTAATATTATGTATGCTATGCATATAATTCTATCCGAGATGAAATTATACATTTAACTTTTTCTTCCAATATAATTCTCACAAGAGCCACGGTGGTCTAGCGGTTAGAACGCTGGCCTTGTAATCCTGGGGTCTCGGGTTCGATTCCCGGCGGTGCCCGAATTTATAACTTGTGTTGGGCAAGGCCGTGGTCTAGGCAACACGGAGTTTTCCTCCGGGGGCTTCCCCGGTTTCTCCGTGACATCCCAACAATTACTCCATTCACACACAGAAGAAGGCAATGGCAAACCACTTCTGGATCATCTGCCAAGAACGTATATGAACAGGTCCCAGTCCGAGAAAAGGATGGAAGGATCCTGTTCATATGGACCTGTCGTCAGACAGAACACTAAATAAAATAATAAATAATTCTCACATTTGTTACAATTTGTAATGCTAATTGTTACATACAGATGGAGCTGGAACAATTTCGGTTTTCATGTATAATGTTTTGACAGTTCAGAATATCTGATTGGAAGTTTGTTAATCATTACGGTGGCACCAGAGTGTGTAAAAAATTGTTAATACAGAAGTGAGTTAGAAACAGTTATCACCTTCAGAATATTAGAATGTACAATGATAGGATTTGCTTCTGTTGGCCATTCACTGCTTAATTGTGTCTGGAAGTTTGTTATTTCATTGTAATGGAACATTGTATCAAAAAATATGAAGAGCTTTTAAAAGAAATGCATATCTGACAGAAGAAATATGGTGTTGTGTTATAAGTGCTTTGTTTTTTTTTGTTTTTTCAATTTAGAATAATTATATAGGAAATGAGTTTAATATTGTTGTCACAACTGGAGTTTACATGAATGTGTAAAGTGTTTTATTTATAAGGAGTGTTGGATGTGTGATGTTTTCATGTATAATTCATGTTGGGGTTCTCCACCAGTAAACAACAATGAAAATGTATATGGAAATTTGGTTTACTTAAAAGAAATATCCATTGCTTTTGAGACACTTATGCCAACAATTCAGAAGCAAGATGATACAATTCTCATAAAAAGATGATGGGTGTCACTGAAAGAAATTTCTGACTTCTGAAATTTACATACTTGTTGCCCACTTATTAATCGAACAACCTTTATAATTCTTTTTAATGTGTTAACTACTGTGCAACATTGCTATTTTAGCTGCAACATTTTCATGTATAACATTTCATTTTATATTTGGTGTAGATGCTGATCAGCCTGTTCCATTAGAGTTGCCTGATCAGTGGCTCTGGGAATTGGTGGATGAGTTTGTGTACCAGTTTCAGTCTTTTGCACAGTATCGTGCTCGTATTCAAAAGAAAACCCCAGAGGAACTTGAGAAGCTGCATACACAAAGTAAGGTGTGGAATGTCCTGTGTGTTCTGAATGTCCTGCACTCCTTAGTTGACAAGTCCAAGATAAAGCGTCAGTTGGAGGTGAGTTTCTTCCTACTCTCTCTGCACCTTGTGTTCTTAGATTTTGTGTTAATGGAATTTTTATTGTAATTAGTTCAAAGGATAATTTTGGAGGTCACTTTTTACAGAGGTATGTGATATTTTGTTTTAGGTGTATGCTAGTGGTGGCGATCCTGACTCTGTAGCAGGAGATTTTGGACGACATTCTTTGTACAAGATGCTTGGTTACTTCAGTTTGGTGGGACTTCTGAGACTTCATTCTCTCCTTGGTGACTATTATCAGGCCATAAAGGTGTTGGAAAATATTGAATTGAACAAGAAGGTAGGCTACAACAGTTTACATTAACTAATTTAAAGTCATTGTTTTATATAATAACTTGTCATCAGATTTCCACTTTTGGTTTCAAGCAGACATGTGATTGACAATTCGTAGATATAAATATTTTTATATGTGTCAGTTTACTGATGGGGAATATAAAGGAAATGTATAATTTAAAAATATATTTGACTTGTAATAACAAGATAAATAAGTATAAATAATCATAATAATAATGTAGTTGAGTAGAAGGAATGTTTATGAAGCTGATTATTGCATTTTCTCCATATTCTTGTCACTTACCCCTCTCTTATTGTCCTCAGCACCCTGTGCTTAAATGCCCAGGAACTGTGTTCTTCCCTTAGGGTGAAATATATAGCAGTTTCCATAGGCCTCATATTTTGATTACATCAGCATTTATTGAATTAAAATTTATTGATATCTTTGGTGAGTTGCTCAGATCAGTAACAGTATTCTTCTTTTCAGAGTCAGTATTCTCATGTACCAGCATGTCAGATATCAACATCCTATTATGTTGGATTTGCATACATGATGATGAGAAGGTATTCAGATGCAATACGAACATTTAGTTCTATTTTATTGTACATCCAGCGTACCAAGCAGCTCTTTCAGAGTCGCACTTACCAGAATGATCAGGTGAGAGCTGTGTAATTGCTTTAATGGTTGTATTTACAGAAATGTAAAGCAACCTTGTTTAATTATTACTTGTAAAAAATGGTTGTAAATGCTGAACTCAAAACATCCATTGTTGCTTGCGTGGTATATGTGGACTGACAGATCTTATTGACATTGCTACATAAGATTCATTCTGCTTTATTTGTTTAGCCATATGCATCTTTATCTTTGTTGTCAGCCACCTCCTCCATCACTTCCTGCTCCTTGACATCTACTGCCATCATTCATATTCAGTTATAATATTTTGATTCGGAACAATCCTTAATTTTTCAGTTGTAAACTGTGAAACAAAAGCATTCTGATTATGCACATACTTATATATTTTTAAATTTTATCTGTTTTACTCTGCCATATTATCCAAGTGTCAGGAATTTCATTGTGATTTGTTGTGTTATGAAACCTCGTGTTATCTTTTGGTGATGACTAGTTTGCTGATATTTCAGAGTCATTTTATTCTCCATATTCAGTGTGAAGCGACTGGCAGCAGTGATAAGTTTTCAGCATAAAGTCCCTTATAAAATATCTAAAGACGGTACTGTTATAAATATTTTACTTCATTCTCATTATCCTTGTAGTGTTTGCTTATCAAACTAGGATAATAAAGAAGTGGTTAATGTGACATTTTTAACATGACTGATTTTAGATTAACAAGCAGACTGAGCAGATGTATCATTTGTTGGCAATTTGTTTAGTCCTTCATCCTCAATGCATTGATGAATCAATACATCAGGTGTTAAGAGAGAAGAACTACCACGAGAAGATGTACAAGATGCAGTACGGAGAACTAAGTGTAAGTTGTTGAGGGTTTTAAAACTTTACTATGTTTATTTGCTTTGTATGCTTTCATATATGCGTGGCAAGAGAGGCTAGATTCCAGTGTGCATGTTAGTGCAAGCTGAATAATATTCATGTAAACTGTGCAGTCATATGGCTCAGAAGAGGGCCGAGTCAGAGGCTAAACACAGTACTGAACCTTTGGGTTTCATAAAACCTAGGGAATAAGTGACTGTCAGCTTCTCAATAAGAACTCTTGCTCGTAGATAGTTCCATACGTTATGAGGAAGAATAGGCTTATGGATACATGTTTGATTCTGTATGTCCAGCTGCTCTCCTCCCAGAATTTTTGTAACCAGTCGATAGATTTTCCTTAAACTTGTTTCAAACACCATATCACTAGAGGTCAGCCTACTTTTGTACTTTGTAATTACCTAGTACCACTAATATTAATATGGTGGTGGTACTAATACAACATAATATAAGGTCTTGAAATGTTTTGTGTGGTGATGGGTGTTTGTGGTTGAGATTTGTATTCCTCCTAAATACAGATCAGTTGTCATATCAGTAGCTCCATGTTGTGGGAATGAGTCTGTTGCATTTGTCATTCATTTGGTTGCCCTGTTGACATCTTCACCTGTGATGTGGCATGAAAAAGTCTTTGGAATTTCAGCATAATCCAAAGAGTTCCAGTATTGAATAATTTTTTTTTTAAATTTTTGATTCTATTGGCCCATTGTGTGGATGAAATTGTTTTCTATGTTCAAATGCTTTTCTCTTTTCAGGAGTTTGAGACATGTTTCATCTTTGCTTGTCCAAAATTTCTGTCACCTGCCCCACCACCGTTAGATGCTACTGGAGATTATGATTATGTAAAGGAAGCCACAAAGCGTCAGACTCAGGTCTTCATGGATGAAGTCCGCCAGCAGAAAATGCTGCCTACAATTAGGAGGTATACAGGTTAACTTCAATACATATTAATCAGTAGCTGTTTTTACTTGGTTCTTATTTTACCCACATACTCAGGTTGTTTCTTCATGGTGTTTGCATTTTTGGAGAACTTATGATAGTTTTTGTCAGCCCCAGTTATGTACACATTATTAACTGCAGTTGTGTGTGTGAGGTTTGTTACCAATATGTTTTTATACACTATCTCAAGTTAAATGTGGTAAAATGTGCAAAATCAATTGGAACAGTGTAACATGAAAATATTTATTTGTGGTTTTATTTAGTGACACTACCAGTAGCAGTTCAGACTATAGCATCAAATGGTAAGATGACTAATCAGTAATGAATCGGAAAGGATGTGGAATGAAGCAGGTCTGGGCTAATTTTAAGTTACTATCCCAGCATTTACCTGGAGGGACTGAGTAAAACTGAAAAATCTCATTAGGTATAGCTGGCCTCGGTCCCATAACCAGGCAATAAATTTTGCTTTTCGAAAAGACTTCTCATACACTATAGCTTTGCATTGCAGTTTGATGATTACTTTGTTTGCTGTGGTATGTTACAGTTATTTGAAACTGTATACAACATTGCCATTGTCAAAACTTGCCACATTTATGGGCCCTGGTCCAAGTCAGAATGACAGCAGGGATTTGAAGGAAGAGATTGAAGCACTGATCATCCATCTGCTATGTTTCAAGCACAAGATGAAGAATGTTGTGTGGACAAGGGGTACATCTGGACTTGAAGGGAAGTTTCAGTCTGGGTCTGAGGTGCGTATGAAGGTCTTAATGCACAACTATGATAATTCAATTGTGATTGGGAGAAACGTGTTCTGGGTACTCACATTCCTCTCTTTGCCACACCTGTGTTGTATTTATATCACAGTTTATGTTGTCGTATCACTTTATTTAAGCCATGTGTCATATTTAAATTAATTTTTATTTTATTCATATGTTATGTTCTTTTGTTCAGTGTGTTTATTGCTGATATGATTGAGCTATATATAGCTTTTGCTGTAAATTTGTCACATCATCAAAAGTGTGAACTGCGATATCTAATACTTGTCTAATTTGCTTTGGTCTTATTCATGTAAAATGATTTAAAGTGTGATGTGACCAAATCTAAAATTAAATTGGACTGAACGTAATGAATGGTTCATGCATGCTGTGAATAACAGTACTACCTATTGGATTCATGATTCTGTTATCAGCAACATATGCTTACAATTTTTTAACAAATTTTTCTTCATTGTTATCCTCCATTGTTTCCAATGGAAGATTGAACTGACATTAAAATTACAGGTTGGATGAATGATATTCCTTTATTCCTTAGTAAACTGATGAATGAATTTAGAAGCAGCTTAACTTCTGAGTTTATATACAACTGTCTGCCCATCAAAATAATCCAGTCCAAAACACAAACTCTGTCTAAACTAACTAAACTTGTTAGTGGCTTTCCTCCATACCAGATGTAATGGTTATATTGCGACGTTTATTCCCAGAGCTTTCATTAGAAATGGGGGTACACCGCTTGGGGAGTTTGGTTTCTTCATACAGTTTGTCTTTGTAAGCCAAACAGAGATTTATGCTTACATTTCATTTATTAATTGTTGCAGTTGGACTTTTACATTGACCATGAAATGATCCACATCGCAGACACAAAGGTGGCTCACCGTTATGGGGACTTCTTCATCCGGAAAATCCTGAAGTTTGAAGACTTGAATCGTAAACTTCGCATGATCAAGATCTAAATATGGTACAGACATGTGTGATCTGGTACAATATTTGAGGTCAAAGGAAATACATTTTCTTTAATGTACTATAATTGATGGGTACATATTATTTAGTAAAACCCATATAAGTAATTCTCACATCAGATGTTCTCCTCAGAGTATACCTTGATTTTTTGGTTACATAACATGTTCAATTTTTTCACTAATGTATGATCTTTTGGAAAATACTATTGTAATTTAATACAATACAATGAACTTTACATATATTTCTGTTTTGGGCAGCTTATTTGAACCCTGAACACTAAATGGAAGGAAATTTTAATACTAGATAATTGAGCTGGAACTAACACATTTAAATATGAATTTTTGGAAGAAGGTTTTCTGTACTTCAGATGTAAAGACTAAATGAGTGAAAACTTACTTACATAGAAAATATCAGAATTATTTAAAAGGATCCATAGTATCTACAAGACAGTCAAGAAGAGGAAAAGAAAGTATTCACTGCTGACGGTGATTTAAAAAATTATTGAAATTTCAACACATTTGTGATCATCTTGAGGGAGAAAGTCCATTCATCTTCAAGTCATAATGATTACAGTTATGAGGAAGAAGTAGTATTCTTACCATGACAAGTATCTTGAGACATGATTGGGAAAGATAAGACGATGTACATCCCAACAGAATTCACATTAACACTTGCAGAAGGCCAGTTTCTGTGATGCACATCTGTTAAATTAGAGGACATTGAGGGGTGGTGAGGGGGGATGTTTGCTCATCTTGGATTTAATTATAAGCTGGTCATAGTGACTGCTTGAACACAGATCATGGGCTCAAATCCCATTCAAGTCACTGATGTGTGTCCACATTTTTCTGTGTTGTGCTACTTTGTGATAATCTGAGTCTTTGGAAAGCCAACAGATAATTCTGCAGTAAGGCCAAGGCTCGTAGTGGGCGTGAGTGCCTGTTATTGTTACAGTAGTAGTAGTGAATCTAATTAAACTGAATATATCATCCTGCAGTAGCTAAAGGGTAAATGGGATCTAAATACCATATTCCAGTATGATCAAGGTTAAGGAGAAGGAAAGTGAAGTATAATTGTAGGATCTGAGGTTCTTAGAGTGATGTGAGTTATGTTATGATCTGGGTAGTTGGGCCATATAGTCTTCTAGTTTCATATCATTGTTCTCAGCTATCATTGATAGTTAAAAATGAAACTGTTTTGTTCTTCATTTCTGGTCACAAAGTTATGCCAGTAAATACCTGTTTAGTTAGAAATAAATGTAGTTTGTCCTAGTACTAAAAAATGATTTTATAATTTTTACTGATGTTTTTCATCCATATATTGCACTTCAGCAAATGTCCTTTGAATCTCTTACTTGCATAATACTTTCAAGACAGCATGTTACTACCATTACGGCATATCACTTTTCAGAAGTGATGTACATTTAGTAAACACAAAGAAAAGAGATTCAGTTGTTTCTTATTCTGCTCTGCCTTTGGATCTTCTTGTTATTTTTTTCTGTGCTCTTGTCAGTTTGTGGTTTTTTCTGAAACTGCTCCCAAGGATGGCCCATTTTCTCAGGAACAATTTCTTTCAACCATGATGTGTATCGAGTACAAAAGATTTGAAAATTTTTCTTGAAGTAATTGCTACCAGCAGTTTTACGCATTTGTGGCAGTTCAGTATCCTGTTAACATAAGATTGTGTTAGTCACTGTCTTCTTCTTAACTTAGATTATAAAAAAATCTAACATTATTGCAAACAAAGCTACTACACAGAAAATATAAATCCTTCAATTTTCATATACATTTCATGTTTGACTTACTTTAACAAAAACCTGTTTCGACCCTCATACTGGCTTCATTATAAAATTTTTCCAAGGCAGTAGATATTGTAATGAGGAATATTATTTTTTCTTCCCCATGAAAATTTTCATGTTACTAGAGTTAAAAATAAGTTTGTCTGTAGGCATCTACAAAAGCATTCAAAGGAAGTACTAGTCTTACATTCTGTCTCTGCTATTCCACATTCTGCTGCAGTTATTGGCCTCAAAACATCAAAAATTCCAAATGTAAAAGGGAATATATTTACAACTGTAGTGTTTTTAATTACATGTCAAAAACAGCCAGGTGCCAGTATACTTCATACATCAAATGTGTTATCCATCTCACCCACCATTGTTAGATTTCAGTCAGAAAAAATTCTTTTATCATTATTTTGAAGTGAGTTTTCATTTTCCTCTAATTGTAATCTAGACAGTGACCTTCTGTCTTCTGATGTAAGACAAATATGAGGAGGCTACCGGCTGCAGTCCATGGTGTACATGGTGCTAACATTTATTAATAATGATATGATTTACCTTCTTCCTTATCTTCTGCAGACATTCTTTGTGGAAGTTTTCCAAATGTTCCAGGAACTTTTCATTTGGGCGGACTTTCTCGCTTATTGCCGTCGCCATTATAGCCATTATATATTCAAAATTATAATGACAACAGCCTTGCCTCAGCATCGCACCCAAAATTTCTGCATTCATCCTGAACCATTCCATCATTTATCAGAACACATATCAGCAAATGAAACCAAATATTTTAGTATTCAAATATAATCACTATAATCTAAGGAAACTAATTTCAATATTTTCAAATGATTAAAGGCTTCTATAACAAGTACAGCTGTTAATATTCTATACACACTTGTTGATAATACATTCAGCAGTGCAACATAAATATACATACATTTCAAAAACAAAATTACGCAGTGCCTTCCCTCCAGGGATGTTGATGTCAGCAAGTGCTGTCAACCACATTCCCTTGCATAATATAATCCACACTTCCATAAAACAAATACAGTACTGACATTTTCTGATTAGGTCTCTTCTTACTGATATCATACCTGAAACCTGTATTTCTCATGTCTTCCATCAAACACTGTGCCTCCTCTTCAGTTTGACAGCCTAAAGCCAAGACTCCAAATGTAACAATGTCAGGGTGCAGTTTGGATCTTTGAATCAGCTTAAGAACTTCCTATACAGTGATTAAACAAGATTATTTGCACCATAGAACAAAAGGATTTGTAATTTTAATATTATATTATTCCTTTAAAAGTAATTTTTATTTATCTTTGTTTCCAATTGAATACAAATGTATTAACAAAAGTGTAAGATATAAAAAGCAAGCATAAAATATGCATGACTCGGTGCTAATTTCGACATAATGCATGATTCAGGTAGCTTTTTCTGAATTTATATACATTTTATTAATTGTACCATACAAACTTTGCCAAAATTAAAGAAGGAATTTGTAAAATTATTTTTTTATGCCCATCTAAACAAGATTCAGTAATAAATAGTTAATTTTGTGACACAGGGTCCACTTACATATGCATTCTTATAGTCAAACCTCATGCTTCGTTTCTTTATTAACATGTTATAAAAATCTATATCTGGACAGACATCGGCTTTCGCCATGGCTGACAGCAGGGCCTGTAAAATATAGGAGAACAAATTAATTTTTCAACATCTATCATTTACACCTTATGCGAAAACTTTATTTCTCAAGGTATTAAAGATTAAAAATTTGCTCTGTGACAATGAGTAAGCCAACAGAAAAGTGGAATAACATAATGTACCTCAGATACAAAATTTTGAGGTGGGAACACCGAGGGATGAAACCACTTAGGAGATCTAGGCACAGATAGGAAGACAATAATTAAACTGGATCTTACACAGATTAGTTGTGACTGGATTGAACTTTATATGCCAGGATTAGGTTCAGTGGTGGATTTCTCTGAACATGGAGACTTTGGATTCCATAGAAGTAGGGAATACACCTGATTAACTGCTAGTTGCTCAACTGTTATTGTGTTCTGAAAGTTAGAGTATCACTATTTTTACAGCACTTCAGGCAATGCAGAGAGTGATGGACAGATACTTGTGAATTGCACATACGGACAGTTACCTGTTCTGCTGCTTTAGTAGATGGGATGATGTCCAGAAGTTGGGTGAAGGTTTTTATGTCTGGTTTCACTCCATCTTTATTCATTTGTTCAAGGAATCCAGAACAACCACCCACAACAATTAATCTGTAACACAGGTACAGAAGCTATCATCTTAATTTAAATAACTTCTGGTTGTTATATTCAGAGGATTTGAATAAAATTGGGATTTTAGATTGGTTTTCGTAAAGAAATATGGCTGCCAGGTCATACACTGTTCAGATGTCTTTCTAACTACCAGTTTAACATATTGGCCAAGTCTTATGAAACAATAGGAAGATTTAATTCTGTATCAGTAATCATGTATTAAGTCTCCACAACCTCAGTTACAGCCCAGTCAAGAGTTTTTTTTCAATTCAATTCAATTCAATTAATTTATTTACGTGTTTGCCAACAGCAAGAAGCCAATAACAGGCAAACACTGATAATATATACAATAATAGTGAAATAATAATGGATAATATTACACAAACGGATTAACTAAACTTATACATTCGGGGGATATTAAACTGGAAAAATCGGTAATTGCATAAACTGGCAAATTTTCTTTGAATATTTTCTAATTTATTAGAATCTGTCTGTGTAAGATTATTCCAAACGACCGAGGCATACTCAAGCTTTGACCTAATTAAAGCATTATATAAAACAACAAGGCTGTCTAGAGAGGAAAAATTATAAGTAATAAAACGAATAAGCCCTAAGGTCCTTAGTGCCTGGGAATGAACACAATTTACATGACAGTGAAAATACAGTTTACTGTCTAACAAAACACCAAGATCTTTTATACAATTTGTACGCAAGATTAAAAAGTCACTAACAATGTAATTAAAATGGATACTGTTGGTTTTACGTGTGAACGATATAATTTTGGTTTTCTCTATGTTAAGTTCCATATTGTTATCATTACACCACTCATGTACGGAATCGATATCTGCTTGAAGAGCTCTGCAGTCATGCACAGATTTAATATCGTGATATAGTTTCAAGTCATCGGCAAATAAGAGAAATTTAGAATACTTAATTTTGTCGCAAAGGTCGTTAATAAAAATATTAAATAAGAGAGGTCCCAAGGTAGAGCCTTGTGGAACTCCAGATAACACCGCGTAGAAAGAAGAAGACTGTCCTAAAATGCGAACAAAGGCAGATCTGGATGATAAATAACTTTGGAACCACTTGACATAAGGAGAAGATAGTCCAAATTTATTTAGCTGTTATTCTGACTGATTCTTAGACACTCAGTGAATTTCCTGACTATATTGATTGCATATGATATGGGCATGTAAAGTGAGTATAATCACTTATGCAAAGGCTCACTATTGAAAGTTATTTGTACTTATCTCTTAATTACCAATGGAAAGCATGACATTTGATTAAAAATTTTCTGCTATATGTCATTTACAGGAAGCTTTTATTCACTGCAAGTAAAAAATGTAATTCTGCCTAGGAAAAGTCCTTCCAGTTTGGAAGTGCCAGGACTGACATGTGTAAACTTGGACAGCAGTTTAAAACTGCTTCATTACTTGATTAAGGAATCACATCCCATTTAGGCTGTCTTTCCAGTATAAATATATGTTGGTAATTGCATCAGTGGCATAATATGATCGTGCAGTACAAGCATGTAACAAGTACGCAGGAATACAGAACAAGCCAGCCACAAGTCTTATTTTAACAGACTAGTGTCTAATCTGTTATGCAGTTGTAAGAAGTATGTATTCTGTTATATACTGGTAAATGGGGTAACTGCAGTGCTATGAGAGGAAAGAGAGGGGCTGGGAAAACTAACTTCAAGATACCTGAATAGTAACTGAGTTATTCATGTCATTCATACCTGTCCTCAGGCTCTGTAACTTCTGACAGTGCAATTATATTTCCAAAGTGAGGTCGAGCTCCTAGAAGATTTGGACGGTTCTCAGTAACTGGAGGAACTTCATATACTGAAGCCTCTTCTATTACATTTTCTGGTCATGAATTTGATGGCTGTGGTACTGAATCATTATTTTCTGATGTCAGCAAAGGTCTTGTCTGTAAAGTGAAGAATTAAAACATACGAAAAAGATTTGAGGTTCTCACAGTGGTGAGGATATTTATGTTCTTCTGGGTTCTGATGACATGTGGACATGGAGGCAAAGACCAATGTTTCAAATAAATGTATGCTTCTCCAAAATGTTGGTATCTGTCCACAAGTCCACGTGGCATCACAACCCAAAACAACAATGTCATAATTAAGAGGTATATTTCATTGCACACAGCATACTGAAATACAATTAATTAATAGTTTACCTTCAGTGTCTTATATTCCTGCCTGCTGTTTTCCTCAGTGATCCTATGAAACACATCCTGAGCAACATCAATATCCCCAAAGCCACAGTCCCTTATTGATCGAAGCAAGAGATTGTATGTAAAGAGGTTCGGCTTTACTCTTTTTTCTAACATTTTTCTCCATACCTAGAAATCAAATTTAATTTGAGGTAACATGAAGAAACATTTTATAATTTTCTCCACAATATCCTTGACTTGCAGTACATAAAGCCAAGGAGTGATACTCCATTTTCAGGGTTTGGCAGGGGGCTCCCCATAAAAACTAGCACATTATGAAATGTTACACATTGTGACAGTAGACATGAGATTTAATCCCCAGCTCTTATAAATCACAGGAAGTTGACTGGAACAAAAATTTTCTCAATTGATTTTTATTTACCAATAAAGTGTGCCTGAAGCCTGCTTCTTTGTCTGTAATACAAGCCTGCAACAAGAAATTGAAAGTTTCGTCTGAAATAACAACCTTCTTCTCTGCCATCTCATCCACTAGAGTGAATGCAGTTGATAGATCTCCACATCTTCCAAATGCTGAAATGGATAAAGTTTTATGTATGTAAGACACATTTAATTCAATCATAATATGTGGATGTTCATAGACTGCTGACTGTACATTAAATACTGAAACCTTTAATCATGGCATGGTAATTAGCAGCATTTGGTTCATAACGCTTCTCAAACATCAGCTCACGTAAATGTTTTGCACGTTTAAGACCATCATTAGGCCATGGGCTGTTAGCACACGCATTAAATAGTCCAGTGTAGGTAGCGCCAGTTACTTTAAGGGCTCGTTTTTTCATCTGCAATGAAAGGTAATGCAGTAATGTTGTTTGATATTACATTTACATTTAATGAGAAATTATGAGTTTTTGTATAGAAAGGAAGGTATGCTATGAAAAGCCAGAGATATTTAATAAGGGCTTCAAGAAAGCTGTGGATAGATCAAGGAGGGATAGACAGAAATGTTGATGGACAACTGGATAGAAGATAAGACCAGTTACATGCATTACATTGTACCCTGCCCACATTATGGTGTGAAAGAACTAGAGTGCTGAATGATTATTGTGTATCTATTTGAATATCCCAAGAAGGTCAAATGCATATTTCATACACATATAATTATTGTTTATAAATGAGCCAAGGAAACAAAGACTTGTCGAAGGGTAGATGTGAATGTATCACACTGAAAGTGTGTTCTGTTATTTGCATCATAATTAATTACTTTTAGAAACTCAGTTAGACCAATTTAAGATGGCATCACAGTTTAAAATAAAATATGTGTATGAGATTTGACGTTCCACAGTGGTGAAGATGTCAGTGTTGCCTTGTGGACTTCTGAGTAGTTACAAACATTTTGGAGACAGTATATTTCTTTGGAATGTTGGTATCTACCTACTAGTCCATAACGCATTACAACCCAGATGACCAACATCAATAAAATATCACATTGCTCTGCACCATGATACTCATGAAATGTGCCTTAATAATACCAATTAACTCATATTTAAATATATTTATACCTGATTATACAACTGAAATGCTTTTTTTGTGTAGCCTAAGCGACCACACTCTCCAATGATAAGATTGTAGATGAAATTTTCTGGTTTAACACGATCCTGTTTAAGCATTCGTGTTTCAAGCACATCAATAGCATCTGCTACCTGAAAAAAAAAATTAGGATTACAGTTATAAAATACATCTTTAAAGTATTTGTTTTCAAATGCACAGCTTCACATGACAATACCTTCTTCTCGGTGATAAAATCTTTGATAATAGTTGCATACTGTCTGGTGCTCAGTTTTTGTGTTCCTGTAGGGGCATGTTCTAAGTATATTTCTTCTTCTTTATCTTCTTCATCACCTTCGATGGCTTCAATTGGTGTTTCTTTATTGCATTTAAGGTCTCCAAATATATCTGGGTCACTCTGAGAGAAGTTCATTTCTGCTTCTAAGTGTGTTTTGGCATCAATTTGTGGCTGATTAAAAGATACTTTTCCTTTATGGTTTTTATTGTTATTACTTTCATGACATTTCAAATTATTACTCTTGTAGTTTTCTGTGCCTAGCATATCAGAAAGATGTGTTGTTGAAGCCAGAGACAATGCAATATATGTAGTTGGCAATACTTTTTTATATTGTTGACACCTATTAGGTTTGTAAATCATTTCAGTTATGAAGTGTGTATGGCACCTGCTAAAAGCAGAAAGGGTACGGCCTGATGAAATCATGTTCGAAAATTTATTACAAACTCAAAATAGACACTTTATTTTAATAACCAGTTACTACTGTACTTTTCTGCATCAGTTATAACTTCACTTCACTTGTAGTAGCTATGCCTGAAGATACCTACAAAATTAAAATAACACATAATAAAAAGCGCTCCAGCATCAAGTGGTTAGATTGATGTAATAACAAAAGCAGAAAAAACATTCTGAACAAAAGTTAAGTTCACTTATTTTTCAGTCATGAACCTCAAATTCTACACTTATTCATTCATGCACAATACAGGCTTTTGGGCAATATAACCTTGAGTTGTGCCCCAACTTTATGTGGTCCAGGATTTGAAGTAGCAGTGTTGAGGTATGGAAATAATTATTAGTTTTAACCCGAGATTATGATAATTATTTATTCAAAAAGTACCGTAATACCAATTTAAAATACTCTACTAGAATTAGGTTAGGTTTTGGGGTAATGTAGTAGTACGTAAAGTTTGGCACCAACTGAAAAAAAAGGATGAATTCTACAGCCAGGCAGTATAGGCGCCATGCAGAAGATATTTATATTTTTGGCATATAAGGTAAGATCACTGGTTTACAGTGTGCAAAGACACAAAATCCTGCCTCACCTGAAGCAGCCATTATTGTGTAATATGCATATTTAACAAACACTGCACTCGATAACGTAGCCTTACCTTAACGTGAATACCACTGTTTCTAATTACCATTTCCTTATTCTCATCTAACATAATCCGTAAAGCCATCTACTGCATGTCTCTACAGAATCTAACCTCTTTCTAACCTATCGAGATTATAGTGTAAAATATATTTAAAACGTTTTTAAGAGTTTCACTAGCTCGGTAATTTATGCAACTATTGGCATTATAACGCAACATCCAACACATATACAAAGTATTCTTTCAATAATTTTAATTATTTGTAAGGGGCATAATGACCTGAACGTGTTCACATTTCAATTGATGTATCGAAATTTCGAACTCGATTACGAATCGTAACGCCATTCATAGCTTAACATCAATATCAGCACCACCTACGTGAAGCGACAGGGCCTCACAGAGCATTGATTTATTACTTGGTTCGGCGCCACATTTGAAGACCGTCTGTAACTAGTAACGTGCACGGTTAGTATATTACTTGATGCCGATGTATCAGTTGTAGTAGTTTATTGTATGTGATGCGATAAGGACAGAGGCAAAATGCTGTATGTAGGAGTACCTTTATGAATTTATGAATTACGAACAATATTGCTGTGTTATGGACAGCCGGGTGCATCTGGAATAACAGACCCACTTGTTAACAACAATCGGAGGTAAGTTAATCGATACACTAGACTAGACTACTGGCTGGATGACCATGGTTAGATTCCCTGCAGGACAGTGTTTTCTCTCTTTGCCACTAAGTCAGCCTTCTCTTCATTGGATACCATGGGCCCTTCTTTCTCAGGTTAAAGAGGCCATTTACCTCCATTTAGTGTCAAGGTTAAGAGTGCGTGGTACTCCACCTCCACTTACCCATTCCTCTGCATGGTATGGTGCTTTACGCGTCTAAAATAATGGAAATTAATGTTATCATGCTACAAACACAAGAATGTGGGAATTACAGGCAGTAAACAGGAAACAGACTATACACCGGTGAGGTTCAAAGCTGAGACTGATGCAAATATTTGGACTGCTGCTGACACATAGTAACATGTTTTGTCTATAAATTTAATTAATTTCCCTATCGCCAGAGCTTAATGGAACCAACTGGGGTCCTTGAACCAGGGCAGGTTAGAATCGAGTTCAATGGGACGACTCAAAATGCAGCTGTCGAGTGGGAAACTGTAAACTACCGGCACCAGCATGAGGGCTCATTTACAGACAGTTCAATTTTCTAACATTTTTATTTCCGATCCCTGTAGTATGCTTTCCTTCATCACAGTGCAAAGAAGGGAAATCATATTCTTTAGTTTACCTGTAGCATATTTAAATTCAGAAACTATTTACAACAAATAAGAGAACCTTACGAGAATGAACGAAATGTTTCGTAAGCATTTCTCACTCATGTCTCTCGTGACGCGCTACTAGATGGCTCTAGCAGACAAAATCAGGATTGAGTAGAAATTGTGTAGGGGCAGTGGGCTGGTCACTACTTACAAATGCACACTTCAAAAAAGAGACCTTCACTGAGTTGCAGAGCCACGGGAAGGAAGGAAGGGTAGAAGGATTTTAATTACATTTGGCATTGGGCCTCAAAAGAAAGAGTGACAGTTCATACTCAGAGAATCCGTGTTAATAGTCTAATATGAAACTATGCGTATCTATAATAGTTTTGAGAAATATTACAGGAACACGGCTGGACAAGGCTACCTTCCAGTGAGTGCTGTTGGCCATATGGGACGAAGTCTGTGCAATTGTGCGAGAGAGATAGAGACAGATAGAAAGAGTGAGATTTACAGGGAAAGAAGTGGGGGTGAAGCTGTAAAGTACCAAATATACACAACAGGAAAATGCGCCCTTGGCGACATTAAAATGCGTGTTTGGAGTGCGCATGGAACTTGTCTGCTGTCTAGGTACATGCAGTGTATTTAATGTAAAAAGAGCACATATGAACTACATTTCAGGGCGATTGAAAGGTGTTAGACATTTCCGATTACGACATACATTGTATGTATATTAATTATAGTACTGATTTTCCTAAAATTATAAAGCTGTTTTAAATACAAGAAACGTATCTGATTGATCCCTGCCATTTTTTAAAGTCATAGACGTATCTTTGGTTAATACCGAAATATGCCTGAATACGTATAGGTTTGTAGTTGTGTATTTGGGGCTTTCAAAGCAATTGAAGTTAACGATAGTCACCTAATACACCTAGGTTTCATTAAAACCTGCGAAAGAGTTTAAAGGACACAGGCCTATGTCCATTTTAATTTAGGCCCTTTGCTATTCTATAATGAACCTTAAAATGAAGAAAACCGAATTAAATTAACGCGTAGCAATAATACACAGGATTCACAGGCACAATTCTATAGGCCTCCACATAATTATTATGTTGAGACATTAACCTTCTTAAATGGGCTACCATACACACCCAGATCTTTATTCCGATAAGAGCCAATTTTTAAACATCGTACCAAAGATTTAGATACGGATTTGCCGTGCAGTCCAATTTATTTAGTTTGACACATCTTGTTAAAAATATAAAATGACAAGCACTGATGTAGTTTTGTTCTGCCTAAACCGTCCAATTTTAGAACACTTCATATTTGTTTGTACAAACATATCTGAGTAAAATTTTGACTGTGTATGACCCCTTAACACCTGCCCATGTACTCTCGGTGGTTACAGAGGTCATGTTCTTGGTGTAGGATAGACGTGGAGGGAGCATGGTCACGCAGCGGATGCGGAAATGAGGCGCATGTGCTGCCAATGGAATGGCGGGTACTAAGCGGCACAACCCTCGTGTTGTACACCGTCACATTCGTGGGGTGGAACTGATACAGCCAGCACCCCACATCAGAGCTTCTTGTTTACGTACCGTCACTGTATCCGGAATTCATCATGTTTTGGATCTTAAGAAGAACTCGACTGACTAGTGCTGCCGCTTTCTTTAACGCAATCAACAACAACAACCAGAGCAGCGACAATGCCACAGGTACGTTTGTTTATCTGTTCTTATTCCTAATACACTTGAACTTTACCTGAATCTGTTATTCTATATTGTAATTCACACAGTAACAAAATCAGAAACTTGTAGATGACATTGATATTTATTCACATAGTTCATTTTTATGTTATGTTTCGAATATGGCATTGCAGACTACGTGTTGACCCTGCAGGGGGTTTATATACGTATAGTAGAATGATAAATAATATATATCACTCTTACAAAATCGACCACTTAGCTGGCGTGTATCCCCAAAAATAAAAATGCCGGGGCAGACTGGTACGCAGTTTGATATTGAAAGAAATGGACGTGAATAATGATATAAGGTTATCTCGTCCTTGTTTAATAAGAGGTTTATTTGAACGACGAATAACTCAAGAAATGCACACACTTAAAGACACAGACGCATTAAACATAGAGGCCGGAAACTAAACAAGTTGCAGTTTATTATATTTCAGTTAATTTAACACCTGGTTTTAAAATATTTTGTTGAAGTGTTGTGATGAAAATAATATGGCATTTTAAGAATGGAGCAAAGAATTTCGTATTTTCCTTTACTTTTGTTCAACACAGTCTTTCTAAAATGCTAGAGAGGCATAACCCTTACAAATGTGCCAGTCCAAGTTCATAGTTCGATTCCCGAACGGACTGAACCTTGAGATGAGGGGTAAACCAGGCTTTGGCATGTTAATCTGGGTTATATAAACGAAGGAGATGTAATTAGATGGTATTTAGTACGCCTTACTTCACCCAAATTTGATTGATTTCATTAATTTTAGCCTTGTTAAATGTATTAAATTGGAAGAAAGTGGCCACCCTCAGTCGTTTGAACGTCTCTCTTCTCGAATTTCCATCTAGAGGGAACGTGAAATAAACAAATATTTCGCATTCGTATAAGTTGTTACGAAACGTACACTTAAGCCTTTCCAGATGTGGAATGTCGATTGCTTTACAAACATCGCCTCACTGCGACTGACCAATGAAATTTGAATATGGGTTTTAGGCGCGTTCCTGACGTTATGGCGTGATTTTGGGGGGACGAATCAGATCGTCGTATTTAATTCTAATTTAAGAACAGTTACGAGTTGCGGGGGTTTTTATAGAGCGATTGTGTTGTTGCGGCGGCCCTCTCAAGTTTTGATCTTCAGGCCGTGCAGACACGTTCTGCTCGTACTTTAAATTATATATATAAAGACAAACAGCCGAATCGTCGCGCTGCCTGCCATTAAGTGTAATTGGTTATACATCGAAGTGTCTCAAGAGAAAATAAAAGTGAACATCTCTCAGCTAACCAGTGTCGTCTTTAGTTGCTCAAGGAAAGAGATTTCGCATCCTTCGCGAAAACATTAACCTCACCGCCGCCTTCCTCGTATATTTCCTGAAAATCGGAGGTCCTTGCTCACCGACAAAACCCTCAACCATTATCAGAATTTCCATATATCCCTTCCGCATTTATCAGAAGAATTCAAAGCTGTAACCGCGCGAGCGCTAGGCACGTCACTGGGTTTGAACCTTGGCTACAATAAACAAACAGCGAGTCGAGTGTGGAAGGACGGTTACACAAGCGTATTATATTTTTGGATGGGGACTTTATGCTTCCTCTAGTTCTTGGTCTATGCTATGTGTATTTGGCACTACTTCCTTTAGAAGAATTAGAGGGAGCATTCCGGCTCTCAAAATAACAACGCGGTCCCACCTTGGAAATTGTTATTAACTGGACAAATAAGTGAATGAATGTTGCATATGATATTATGCAGTCTGTACGTTACTGTTATGTGCTTCTGGCATATTTGACTTTATTACTATTTCTCTTTGAATAACGTCTACACAGCGACGTATTCGACTGTCAGTCGTCATTCAAACAGAATGTAAATATAACAGTCAAATTCAGTTCGGTAAAGCTTCGCGAAAAACGTGTTGCTCAGCCCCCAGCTACGACTTGCGGAGAACATGGGCTGTGTATCAAAGAGTAAATTCAGGGTTTCAGATAATGACTTGATTTACTGTAGGAACAGGGTGAAATCTTTAAATTTCTTACTTACTGTTTGTGTCACATTGTTTAAACAATTATTACGACATTACTGGGTCCAGTCCATTTCACTAACTAGAATGTCAAAATTTGTCACATTTTATTGTACGTACCTCTAATCTTATATTTTATTAATCCTAATATTTTATTTTGTCCTTCCATTGAATATGACTGGAGAAAATTTAAAAATATACAATAATAATCTCGGAATTCGAATTTAGGGGTATTTGATGAGCGATAAACAATTTTCTGAATCAATAATCAAACAAAGTTTAATAAACACAAGGAAAAAAATGAAAATAGTATTTAAAGGGCTATAAGAGAGTTATAGGGCTCAATCTAATGTGTTGTTAGTTTTGCTGTTAATTTCTGACGCCTTCGTCATGACTACCTTAATATTATTTGGTAAAGTGTACAAATTATGAATCTTCTCGTAAACCGAATACGAGGCACTACAAGTTTAAGTAAATAACATCTTAGTAGTTACTTTAGTTTTAAAGTGGAAAAATTGCTGCGAAATATTCTGAGGACATATCCGCAAATCTTTATTTTAAATGAAGTCTGGAAGTAAGACGCCAGTGAACTGTGACTCTCGGCACAAATGCACGCAGGATAGGTTTAATCTCGTACCTCATACAGCTTCAAGCAGTGATTAGTATAAGAACGTGCAAACATGCTTCCACCGATGGTAGCCTATATGTTTAAATATTCATGTCTTCTTTGAGAACGCTGAGTGCCTGAGCCACGGAAATCCAATTTAAGGCAAAAATATGCACGAGCAGAGAGCTATTC